CATCATTATGGATTTGGTGTATGCAAGAATGTATTAAAAATCAATGTTTCTCGTGGTAGGGTTCAGCCGAGGTTGTAAAGAGGAACTTGTCTTCTCATTTTTTTTCCCAATTGGGTGCAGTGGTGATACAATCGACGCAAGCAAACCGCAAAATGTTATACCGTTTTTATACTGTTCTTTACAGTTAATGAATATAAAAAGTGTTTATATGATTTCTTCCATCAAGCGGCTTTAACTCAGTTGAGATAGCGTCAGACTGAAGATCGAGAATGAAGTGGAGTGAGGCTTTTGCAGATCTAATGAGGATACGTGATGCTGACTTAGATGTGCACTTCAAAATTCCTTTTGGCCCTATCTTCAGACACCTCTCAAGGCCTATATTTTGTTTGAGTATTTTCAGTACCAGATGTATTATGTCTCGCATATCGAATACCCTTGCATATCTCTGTGGCGTCTTCGAGTTTGATTTCGGGTTTTCTGATATGCCTCTTATCTACTGGAGGATATGTATTGTATAATTGAAAATGGACTATATGACTATTGATAGTGTTGAGAGTTGATGAGAAGACCGAGCTGCTTCTGTGAATGATAATGCCAGCACTAGAGCTCTGACCGGAATAATCCCAAAACGCATCTATCTATGCATTCTGAGTGAACCTAAACGACGAATCATCTGAGTTTAATCTCCTGGGAAATTGTATGTTGAGGAAGCGTGAGGAGGAATCAGCTTGACATCCTCTCTGTATTTTGCCTGTTGCGCTCTCGTTGGACTAGGTGTCGAGCAGTTCTACAGCTACTGGAATATTCACATGGAATCCGGAGAATGATTTTACAGTGCTTCCATGCTATCATTCTTTGTACGAAATTTCTTTTCAGTACTAATATCTCGGATGGTCTCCGTGGGTGACAGATAAATGTGATTATGATTGCGTCTCACTCACTTCTGGACACCTTGAATACATAAGCTTTTGTCTCCGAATCTGATCTTGCCAAAGTGCTTTGCCATAGATCGATCGACAACTTCTTTGTGTTTTTGACAAGTGCTAAGCCAAGATACCATCTTGCTAAAGCTTCCTGGTTAATAATACTAAATAGCTGTTTGTACAAAAACATTTCTACGACTCCAAGTGTTTTCTAGTCCCTTTATCATTTTTGAGTTTAATAGTTCTAGCACTGTGCTTTTCACTGGTGACTTATCAGATATCATCTGCCTGTTTCGTGGATCTGATGGGATCTTGGTGCACATGTTCCGAGAGAATTCACAGGTCTTTTATAAAAAGCTAAACTGCCAAACTTATGACGCCTGGAGATTTTCAACGATTTTAGCTGCGGCTGCTTTTGCTGCTGTACTGTTTTCAGATTCGACAGATTGATAGGTGCCCATATATTGTCACTATTTTCTTGGCTCATATAACGTTGGTGTATTCAAATACGCAAAATCGAGGAATTATGAAACTTTAAAATAATGAGATGTTGACATAAGCCCTCCCCTCCAGAGAATTCTTTTGACATGGCCGGATGTGGGTTCGAAGTCAAAAAAAACTTTGCCACGTGAAATTCAGAGACCAAACGGCTATGCATCAATGACTTAAAAGATGAAAGGTGATAAATATTTTTTTGGTTGTAAATGCTATGAATTCTCTGGATGAACATTTTTGAGTTTAAACGAAGACCGAGTTGGGTGATTCTAACGGAAAATGAGCTCTTTATTCTTTTTCCCTTTTTTGCGCATTACTTGGAGAATTGCGAAAATTTATAAACGAGAAGATTTCAATACCTCCAAATTCTCTTGAAATTGTTCGCCGACCCACTTAGTGCTTTCGAAATGAAATACAGCGGGTGAAAAAAAGAATTATATGTCTTTGATCACTTCGTACATAAAGCAACAAAAAATAAGATCACAAGCAACTGCTCGCTCCCGACACATGACCGGTACTGCCTAGGTGACATTGCCAGCAGTCCCCCAGGAGTAAGTAGTATCTTAGCGATTCCTAAATACACCGACTTTTGCTTTACGCCAATTTCAACGAGATATCCGAAATAAATCCACATACTATCTCAAGCACAATTTTTCATTGAAGTCTTATTCTAGAAGTCATCTAACCAAAGGCTCCACCGACTAGACGAGAACATTATTCTAAGAAACATGTTCATTCTCGTGATTAAGGCCGAGTTCGAGACAGCTATCACCAGTCATTTCACATGAGCCGTTCAACTGTCCCACATTTGATATGAAGTGACAACATCAGGTTTTGGTTCAATAATCAACAGCCGCGCTACGAACTTATTAAAACTTCCTGAGCTAGAAGGGAATTCGATGGAAGTTGCACCCAATTTTGCCAACGGAACATAGTGCTTCCTGACTGAGAACGTCTTTGGATGATCTAGATTTGGTATCCCGAATCTCCAGCTTTCGGAACAACCCGTAAGTCATGTTCATTCGTCTTTAAAGTGTAACGTGTTTCAAAGGATTCAAACCTATGAGAGCCCTTCCACTTCAGCACCTATAGTGCGAGCCAGTTATTCATCTACGGGATCTAATAATAACGGCGACGAGGGTCTTTCGACCAAACGAACCGGCCAAGTCTTCTGGTTCGTCAACAAAACAAATTGAAGGCCACACGTTTTGCGTTTGGCATAGGTGAGATACCTCAACGATTCGATTTTTGCTGACTGCATCATGTGAGCCATTAATGTCACGTTGTTTGCAAGAACACAATCTCAAAAAATAAAAGTTAAAGCAGTATTTGTTAAGCCACACGATGCCTAGGTTCCGTGTTTTCAAGCATCTAAGCCAGCAGTGGTATAAGTCCAAATTAGCAGCCATCATCGAGATTCATATAAGTTGTACCCTCTAGAAAGAAGCATGTTATCAACAGAGGTGACATTTTGCACTGAGATCAAATTGAAGAAAAAAGTGCAACAATGTTGGGGTGCCTGCGAATAATTAGCCCCAAAACAATCATCCAAGCCGACTTGAAACAGCTACCAGGCAAGATCCTTGATACGCCATAAGATCAATTCGCCTTCTTCGAGTGTCTTCACTGGCACAGTATGTTCACAAATATGGCATTCCATTGAGAATCTCTTCCGTGCATCGAAACCACTCCTCATTTGGAGGAACCACGCGGCCAATATCACGATTTATCTGTCAGTCAATCCACTTTTTGTCCCGCAAATCTTATAGAGCAAGGCAAAATATGGCATCACCAGGGAATCAATAATAGACAAATTCGTATCCTGCAATGTTTATATACTGTTCCCATCTCGTCTATATAGATACAGCCTTCAGGCCAATCCTTTTTCTACTTTTGACATCTTCTCCATGGCCTTTAGCTTGGCCTGGCTCTGGACATGTTTTTCTTGCTGAGCCTTAAACCGCAGCTCAGCGGCTTGAGCAGCGGCTTGTCGAGAATTTTGAGTATTAGAACCTTCACCTGTCGTTCGGCCATTTCCGGACACAGCAGACGGTTTCCTGGTAGACGCTTGTTTTTCCCCCGGGGCATGAACGTCTTTCGTTTTCAGGAGACAACTGCCCATGATAACCGTCGGAATATGAGGAAAAGCTCAGTAGTTGGAGGTTTCGATATTTTGTGGCCAATCTCAACATCACCAGAGGCTGTGTATTACCTGCAGGTCTGTAACTGATACAGCTATTTGGGCTCGGGCTCTATTTTCGGCTGAGGATATGGGGAAATATCCTGGTATTTTCAGAGAGATAGGCGTGCGCCAGGCAATGAGGATAGAGCCAATATGTATTTTTTCATATTACTTTTTATATTCTGGTACAAGCAAGAAGCCGAACGTTCAGGCTTATGATAAAGCCGTGCGTTGAGAATCTCAGTAGTTCTTAGAAAAGCTTAGTGACATTTCGGAGAGTTAGCATGATTTTGCAAAAAAGATTCATAAAGCTTTTGCTCAGCAGTCATGGGGGCAAGTTCATCACTTGAACATATTCCTAGACTTTCGATCTTCAAACAAACTTGAACTCCAGACTAAAAACATTAAAGTGTCAAGCAGAATGAAGCGCATGTTAAACTTGACGTCCTCTGATATGCCTGTTGACTGTCTCTAATTTGCAAAGCTACTTTTACTAATCGAGTTCTCAAGTTTGAACGATGAAAATCAGGATAGGAATCCAGCACGTCTCTCACGAATGTGCGTTGTTGCTAAAGGCACCAAAAGAACAATAGAGGGTCAGGTAATCTAGCGTGAAGCTTTGAATTTCAAATTTTTGTGGCGACTCGAAGAGAGCTTACGAATTTAGGTAAAATAATGCATTCTGGGACTTTATGTGGTGCTTCGATCTGTAGATTTCTACTGAAACGTCAAAGCTTACAACTTCATCTGGGCTCACAATTTAGTTGGCTATTGCGCCCTTAGCGAAACCACTTTTCTCAAGTACGTAGTTTAGGCGTATCTTTGGAGCCTTCCGCAGTTGCAAATTAAAGAGCAATATTTTCGGTCACGCTAATCACCTCTCTCGCGTAGAAGTTCAGCTTCCTCTATAATTAGTCCCGTGAAATCTTACACAGCTCTTCTATATATTAATTTGCCATGATCATATATGAAGCATGTAATTGAGTCAACTAATTCTTGTTTTAGATGGAAAGTACTTACATATGCCTCAAAAATCACCAAGGAAAAATATCAATATATCGTCTGCCTTGTTGAAGCAGCTATAACATTGGTAGTAAGAACAAAACGGCAATACCCCTGAGTAGGATCACAACTATATTTTTGTATTCAATTCAAAGGACCTGAAAATACTTTTTTTCTTCTGGAGGTTACAAAAGAGGCCATGCATATTGATGATATTCCATAAATACCCGACTTATTAACCGTTGGGTTTTCATATTTTATTATATATACATAGTGTCCATGTGCAATTCAAGTCAAATGCAAAAAATATTGTCAGGAATGTTCACTGGAAGGGGGCGCACAAATGTTTGTACGTATTCAATCGTAAATCGTTTTTTTTTTAATTTTGTCTTTTCAACGCCTCGCTTTGGTTCCCGTCCCTTCACAACTCTGTGAAAGCTTCACTCCTTGCGTCGTTGTCTTCTCTCGAGGCAACAGCAATATTCGAGGCCACGGTGTCGTAGTCTACATTCTCACGTAAGTTTGTGAATTCGGGAACGCTGATCTCAACGTCCGTGTTAAAAGCAGGAGCTGTTTCTGTCACACGAGTAATCTCTTGTGCCTGCAGCTTCGACATCCAGTACTTAACGAACCTGTGAACGGCCTTGTCGTCCTGATGGTAGTTCCGGTAAGCGTGCAAAAGGGCCAAATAAAGCTCGGATCTGGACTCACTGTAATGAGACAAGATGGTGGCCTCACGCAAACTAGCCCAGTCAGCAATAGGAATGTACGAAAAGCCTGCGGCATCTAATGCGTGAAGCGATGCATCCCACTGGCGCAAAATCTCAGCAGAGGAGAAGTCCTCAATCTCGCCCATCTTTTTAAGAATCACGCGGTACAGGACAGGGGTTTGTGTAACATTGTGCGCCGCGTAGTTCTCGACAATCTGTGTGAACACCGTCTTGTCATTCCAAGTGCAGTTGCTTACGATGTTGTTGAGGAAGAAGTCGTCCATCGGTTTGATGCTGGCATAGATGGCAATGACTTCCTTCAACTTGTTGTAGCCTTCCTCAGAGAGAGTTGGGTACATGCGGAAGAAAATGGAGAAGAATGCCTTGTTAATGATGGAGTAACGCGCATTGAACGAGCTCCGTGGTTCGGTAGCGTAGACGGTCAAGGTTTGTTTCCAGAAATCCAAAATTGTCTCAAAAGGCTCCTCTGCGGCCACACAGTTCTCCATGAGCTTCTGCACATGCGGCGCCTTGAGCGTGACGTGGTAAGGGAGCTGATTCTCTACGCACTTGGTGAAGAAGTGGCGCGCGATTTTGATGTCCTTACAATCCCCAATGAACGCCGCGTGCAACTCGGCCAAGGTGCGGTTCACGCCCGACAGTTGGTTTTTGTCCTTCTCTAAATATGCCAACACCTGCTCTAAGCAGTCGAGCGCACGCAGGTAGTCGCCCTCCTGGATAGCGACTTTGCCGACAGCCCCCAGAAGGTTGTGAGTCACATACGCCACATTATTGGTGTTGACCTCAAATAACTTGATGACCTGGTCGTACAGGAACCTCTTTTCCGCGTACGTCAAAGGCAAGATCACAGCCAACACCGTCTGCTGCAAGTATTTGCTGCTGTGCACCGGGTCGTTGACACCGTGCTCCCAGAAGCGAATCATCTCTGAGTGCACTTTCAACTGCAACATAGCAAACAAGAGCTTGCGCAACGTCTGGTGCGTGAGCACCTGTTGCATGGGGCCATCGGAGAGGGTATCTGCGAGCTCCAACACGGCGTTTTTGAGCCAGATGTCATTGGAAAGAGTTACGTTGTGGTACTGGTCGCTGTCTCTGTTCCGGCTGTCACTGAGCCGCGAGAACCGGTTGGCGTACACCGCCTCATTGAGAAGATTGGTGTAGTCGTAGATGTCATCCGAGGACAACAGGCCACGGACCGCATCATCGCGGAACATGTTCACAAGCGTGCGCACAGCGTGCATGTGGCTGCCCTTGCCGGATTGGCGGTTCAGGATGGTCTTGCCGGTGGCGCCTTGGAGTAACTCTTCAAAGCGGGCGGCCAGGCCGCGGCCGCTAGGTGCTTCCAGCTTGTCGACGGCGAAAAGCGGGTCCGCGCTTTTTGAGAATTTGTTTTCTGGCTTGGTTGCCGGCGCTTGCACGGTGGCGGAGCTCAGATTCGAGCGGAACTGGAAGCTCTTGTCGAGGTCGACCGCGGCGTTGGCGGGGCCTGACTTTTTGAACGTGGTGTTGGGCCGCACGTTGCGGAGAAGCACGGGCCGCAACGTCGAGCCGGTGTTGTGTGCAAGAAGCCTGAACATTCTTGGAGGAGGGCCAGCAAATGGAATGGAGGGCACAAACAGAAGGTTCAAACAGACTGTGCAAGCTAGTGTAAGAGAGAAGAGTCGGGTCCTTTTCAAAGTTGTGTATCATTTTTTCGTGGGCCGCGCGCCGATGCGCTAGAGCGCCTGGAGCCAGGCCAGGGACGGTGCGCACGTTTTTTCTGGATGCGGCCCTATTTTCTGGATGCGGCCCTATTTTGTGGGCGCGGCCCCAATTTGTGAGCGCGGGCCTATTTTGTGAGCGCGGGCCTATTTTGTGAGGACGGGCCCATTTTCAGGGAGGCTGTAAATTATGACGGCGGCGGCAAATTCAGACAGCGGCCGAAGTCCTGATATGGCTTGGGTTTTGCACGACAACACACCTCAATTCGGAAGTCACGTGGGCAAGCAGATTTTATACCTAGCATCAAAGGGAGAAATTCGGGAGAACCCGGAATCCTCTGGAAAGAAAGTGACTGCAAGACAGCCCTGAGTCTACGAGCGTGACGCCCATATAGATTTTGGGACTGCACATAACAAGTCTTTCTATGGTGCGCGGGCTGCCGGCTGCGAACTGTACGGCGGCGATTTGTTGGCCCGAGCCGTCGTATAGGAACATGGTATATATTTGTCGATTTTTCAATTTCCGCGGTTTGAGAAATATCAAGGGCTTTGTTTTTGGCTGTAAAAATTAGCTGGATTGCTCAGCTGTAGCAGTCAGCCGCTATAGTCGTACAGCTTTAGAAATCGTACTCAGCAAGGCATATATAAGGCATGTTGGGCGCTTTGGAATTGACTACCTGCGAATAGATGTAACATAATGTATCGGCATATTGGCTCCATGCTGAAATAAGGATTTTCTGGGAGAAAGCAGGTGGGATCCGGGAAACTTCAGAGATCGCTTCCCCAGCAACGTCAGCTAGTTCGGCCTGAATACAGAGAGGGACTTAAGCATAAATTTACTGCTAAATGGCTTTACAAAGTTAATGTTTCAACTGGTACACTATGTTTGGCGAAGGAATTACAGTAATGGCATCTGATCACACGCTTTTTGATCATTGCACTGCTGACAGAGATGTTGAAGAAGACAGGTTCTCGAGTGTTTTATGCGTGGACTCTTTCGAAATATGACGTCACAAAGAAATGCTCTCCAAAGGCTCGGAAGATTTCAGATTTGCGATGCTTCTTATGAGAGAAAGCCAGGCACGCTCATGCAATCTTCAGCAAGTCTCTTGTTACTGAAAAAAAAGATTGCAGCACCACAATTTCGCATATGGTCTCCCACTACACTACTCAGTGTGGCCCTATGCAGCTTAACTAACGTTGATCGGACGGGAAACAGTGCTTCCTGCATGGTATGGCCGCAACCGATTATTTACTTTGATGCAAGTACACAAAACTTGACAGCGACATCATGTTGCCTTTGTCAATTGCTTAGATCAATGAAATTGCATCACCTTATTTTTGACAGTTTGTAATTTACTTGCACTTTGCCATAAGTTGCAATTTACTCTTCGCCCCTTGAAAGCACGCTTTCCAGGCCGTGACTAACGGAAGGGGACGGGCCGAGCTAAGACACTTGGTACGTAGCTGGGAGCTGTTTAAAGGTTTTTTATATATATCTTCGTTATATAGTTTTGCCCCTTTAATCAGATGAATCTACCAAAAAAAAAAAAGGCAGAAGAGACCACTATGATGGATTCATCTTACACGGAACAGACATTGTACAAAGCACTTCTAACACTAGACAAATCCACGGCACCGGGTCCCGACGGTCTACAATACTCGGCAATGAAATAGTACTGGCCAATTACCAAAAGAAGCTGAAGCGACTACTACAGGAGACTTTTCCTAAGAATCAATGACGTGATCTCTAATACGCGAACAGATACGGGCCAAGAGGGCCGTCCACACTGTGACTAACAAAAACAGGTGGACCGAGTTTTGACATTTGACACACAGCCGAGAGCTCTTTGAAGGTTCTTTATATACACAACTTGTATAGTTTTGCTTCTTTAATCAGATGAATCTACCAAAAAAAAGTGAACATGAGCTGGGTTTGATGGTTGGTTGTTGCAATAGTAATTGAACTTGGCTAGTTGAGTAATGTGCCGAAAGCAGTGGCGTGCAGCAAGTACCCGGATCAGAAATCAACTAGAAGGAACTCTCTAAAATGGCACTTGTTGATGCATCGAGGGGTTTCTCTTTTGGCCCTTGAGGCAGCTCTTGGATGCATTGTCCACAGTACTGGTATTTGGTATAACTGATTTCAACTCTTTTTGTCGCAATGGAGGTATTCTAAGACAACTGTACTGAAATCCCTTTGCCGAGAATTCACCAGCTAGAACAGGCAGAAATTGGGCGAGACCCTTGATCTTGCAATATTCCACAACTGGGGCTTTGCACAACTTTAGCACCCAATTTAGTAAATCACTCTCACGTATGTTTTTTTTGCGAAGAAGCGGGGGATAGTACTTGCAATACATGAGGTTCCACAACCGGTTCAGCATCTATGCAACAAAACTTGTGTTCAAACGTGAAGTTTGTGATCTAGAAGCCCATTAATAGATTTTTATAATGACAATTATATGGAATACGAGTCTGGGTTCTTCTTTAAAGTCAACCTGAGCCAAAAAAAAACAATTCGTGAATGGTGAAACTTTTTCTGATGAAGAATGGCTGGATGTATTTGTAATACAAAGCGTGTTACTCTAGAGTATATATATATATATATATACCATCGACCTTGGGGGATACCTTCACATGATGATTCACGAAGTCATTAATTTATTAATCAGGCATATTGTCAAGGAATGTCAAAAAAGGTTTGCTCTTTGTTTTTTGAAGACGTTTTATCAAAGCTCTTGAATATAGTGTTCCAGATCACGTTTTCGTATACTCTCTCAAAAAGTAGATCACATCACCTGAAAAGTCTGTGAGCCCCAAATCTCCAAGAAGACACTCAAGGGAGATACTGCTGAAGGAATTGACGGAATGTGTCTCGAAGAATAGTAGTAGCCTGGCCGATGGTAAACAGAGGCATACACATAGTCACCAACACAGTCATAAACAATTGTTTTGACCACCCATTTGAAGATTGTAGAGTTCTTAGACCGTGGTAAATAAATGCCGTCTTGTTGGATATTTCTCACGAAAGACGATGACGGAATGTTGAATAAAAATACCTAAATTGATGGGGAATGATAATACGAATGCAAGTGTTTACGATGCCATTTTGATCTGACAATAGCAGCTCAATCACAAGACCGAACGATGCTCAATACACTCATTTATCCCACACAACTCATGGCCTCAAATCAAAAAAAGACCAAAAAATAGCCTATCAATTTTTGATCGCATTGTAATGCGCCTTTGCTCCAGTATTGCCTTCTTCGCAGTTTCCTGTTATGCGCGATAGCGACATTTCGAGCAGTAAGCCGTACATGGAAAGAGACCGCGATACGCGCGCCGTGATTCCCATCAGGTCTGGAAAGTAAAAAAGCATCTTGGTAGATTTCCTTGCTTTCTCTGAAGGCAGTGCAAAGAAATGAAAATCAAACAAACAAACATTGATTGAAGCCTCTTGCTCAAGTGTCAGAGATATCTGGCATGTTGCTGGTATGGGACTGCACATTGTACGCTTGGCCCATCGAGTACTGAAAAGAGTTCTCATAGGAGAGAGAGTTCTTGTTCCTTGGGGGCTGACTATATAAGCTCTAGTCAACTCCACGTATATTCATACAGATAACTCTATTATTATCAAGGAATAAGCGATGTACGTGGGCCGCATTCGTTTCCATGCAGGGACCGTGGGGCTGAAACGCGCGAGGCCAGTGCAGCTGCACCCAGATAGCGGCGGTCACGTGATGCCGGGTTCGGTACTCGAAGCTGCGGACGCCTGATCTTAATCCGCCCCACCAGCTTTTTCTTGAACCTTCGAGATCAAGGCAGTCGAGATATACGGCAGTCTCTTTTGTTTTCGACTGCACGCTATCTTTTTACTCTGCGGCTGGCTCACATTGCTCCTCAAGCCTGTGTTTTCACACATCCTTCCTAGCTGGTTTAGTCCATCTTAGATCGGGCAGGTCTTGTGATTTGACGGCGAAAGGAGTGGAAACACAAAGAAGGCATCTCATTGTGAACAAACGCAACCCTAGTCTACAAAGACTCTTGCCAACTATCCTGCTGGTCCCCCAAAAATGGCCGAAAACACCCCGCTTCTACCGAGGACCAAGCCCCAAAACAGGCGCAAACGGGTGGCGCCAGCCAGCCCGAAACTAGGCACCTTTGACGGCGTGTATCTCCTGACATCTCTTAACGTGCTCTCCATCTTGATGTTTCTTCGCTTTGGTTTCATCGTGGGCCAGATGGGCATCATGGGCTCGGTGCTTCTTCTTGTGATGTCGTACCTTATCAATGTGCTCACTGTGCTCTCCATCAGCGCCATTTCCACCAACGGCACGGTGAAAGGCGGCGGCGCCTATTACATGATCTCACGCTCGTTGGGCCCCGAGTTCGGCGGCGCCATCGGCTTGATTTTCTTCGTGGGCCAGATCCTCAATGCCTCGTTGAACGTGGTGGGTTTCATCGAGCCGCTCCTAGTAAATTTCGGCGCCGTCCAGGGCGACATTTTTCCGCTCTTGCCTGTTTCCCGTGTGTGGGAGCTCGCATACTCGACCTTGCTTTTGGCCATGTGCACGGGCGTGGCGATCGTGGGCCTGTCGCTCGTTTCTAAAACGGCGCTCTGGCTTTTTGTGCTCCTCACTCTCAGCACTTTATCGATCCCTGTATCGGCGCTTGTGGTGCCTGCGGGCCACCCGCTCCCGGCGCCCTGGGACGGCCTCAAATACACCGGGATTTCGTGGGCCACGACCCTTGAGAATCTCTGGCCGCAATTTACAAGTGGCGCCGTGGGCTCTGTGCAGCCGCCGGGGGTCCCCGAGACATTCTGTAACATGTTCGGCATTTTCTTCCCCGCCACGGCCGGCATCTTTGCCGGCTCGTCGATGTCGGGCGACCTCAAAACGCCCTCGCGGCTGATTCCCAAGGGCACGCTCTACGGGCTCTTGACCAGCTTTGTTTTGTACTTGTTGGTGATTGTGTCGCTCGGCGTGTCGACGCCTCGCGAGCTTTTGCATAGGGACATTAAGGTGATCCAGTCAATCAACATGAACGGGCTCATCATCATCATTGGAGAGGTCTCGACGTCGCTTTTCTCGGTAATCATGGGCGTGGTGGGAGCCGCGTCCATGCTCAATGCCATTGCCGACGACCGCATCATCCCGGGCTTGTCAGCATTTGCCACGCGGAAAAAACGGCCTCATGAAAAAAGACGGGCCGAGCTCTTGAGCATTCTTCTCACGTGGCTTCTAGCCCAGGTGTTTCTCTTTGCGGACATCAACCAGATCGCCATCTTCATCACCATGGCATTCTTGATGACATTCTTGGTCACCAACTTGGCGTGCTTCCTTTTGCGGCTCGGCTCGGCGCCCAATTTCCGGCCTTCGTTCAAGTACTTCAACTCCAAGACCGCGTTTACGGGCGGCTTGACCTCGGTCATTGCCATGTACATCTGCGACGGGGTCTCTGCAACCTCAGCCATCGTCTTCTTGGTGTTTTTGATTATGATGATTCACTACTCAACGCCGCCGCTGAATTTCGGCGACATTCTGCAGCTCTTGATCTACCACCAGGTGCGCAAGTACTTGCTCCGCCTCAAATTGCAGATGAGTGTCAAGTACTGGAGACCCCAGATCTTGTTGTTGTGCGATGACCCACAAACCTCGTGGAACCTCATAGGCTTCTGCAACCACCTCAAAAAGGGTGGGCTTTATATCTTGGGGCACGTGGTCCTATTGGATGACCACAGCAGCTCAGATGGAGTGTCCTCGGAGTTCAACATCAGCTCGTTCAAGGAGATCCGGAAGCAGAAAAACGCCTGGTTGAAATTGAGAGACTTGGCGAAAATCAAGGCATTTGTACAGATCGCCATTGGTCCGTCGTTGCCCTGGGGAGTGCGCAATGTTTTCCTCGGCTCTGGCTTGGGAGGCATGAAGCCAAACATCACTGTGATTGGCTTTTACGACTTCCATAAACATGGAGTGGAGCTTCCAATGAACCAGTCTCACCTCCAGTTGCCCACTGATGACTGCAGAAAGGAAAAGAAGGTCTCGGTCAACCAGTGGGTGCAGATTGTCGAAGACTTGGTCATTATGCAAGCAACAGTGGCTGTGGCTGCGAATTTCAGGGACATGAAGCTCCCGATTTTCGAGAAACTGTGGATCAAAAGTAAAATGTCGAAAATGGGCAAAAAGCCCAAAAAGTACATCGACTTGTACCCGATCCAGATGTCTACCATCTGCTTGCTTGAAGACGGGAAATCGGTGATGTCTACCAACTTCGACACATACACCTTGATTTTGCAGTTGGGTCTGATTCTTTCAACAGTTGACGAATGGGAGAAAAATGGTTACGTGTTGAGAATCATTGCCTTTGTTGAAACAACTGCAGAACAAGAAGACGAGCGACAGAGACTAGGAACCTTGCTCGAGAGTCTTCGGATCGACGCCGAGGTGAAGATTGTGTGCTTTGACAGCGAAAATCTTCCAAGCTACAACCTCCTCGTGAAAGGACATGATGTAACGACCGACACACGGGCGGTATATGAACATATCAAGCTGATCTTAAATACGGATCAGTGGTGGATTAATATGGTGGAGGGCAGAAAAGCATTACGGGATCTTGAGGCTCAGAAGAGACCAAGAAAGGGGAACCATAAATCGCGCGCAATTGTCATTGCGGATGATCTCTCCAATCGACTCCGAAAGTTGACTTTTACGTCAAAAAGCCCGTCTGAAGGAACTGGGAGAGGCAAGTCTCTCAAAAACAATCGGAGGTACACCTTGTCCAACTTACATGAACAAGGCTTATCGCTTTCGCTCAATATGAAAGCTCAAGGCGATGGCCTGTTCTTCAAATACGACGGGGTTCTTGATAGCAGCGATGACAGTGACACAGAAAAAGACTACATCAAGGAAGATGTGGCCAGCCATGCATCTAGCGTACTAAACCAGCAAGGAATTGTCAGGCCGCAATCTAGCGGCTATGCCTCCACTGCTGCTACCCAGAAATCTTCACCCTCCCCAAAACTGGAAGTACAGGAAACCAGACCTGTCACCTCCAGTCAAGCAAGGACCCCCGTTAGTGGCTTAGATGTCAGACGCGCGAAGATGTTGCTCCCCAAAACGCCCGACCAGCTCTCAATTCGTGCTTCTCGATCGAATCTACGTCCGAACTTTCTGGCGGGCAAGATTCCACATTCGAAAATCAGAGACGATGCTGATGACGCCGAAGCAGATGAGGATAGTGAGAACGCTAAGCCTTCGATTGAGTTTGTAGAAGAGGCTGAACACTCGGAAGAAGATGATGACGGCGACGATATCGAGGATGACCATCAGATGCACTTGGATACGGGTCCAGAAAAAGTGAAGGATGCAGAAAACATATACAAGGACGGACCTCTCACGAGCTCTCTGACCCACTCCTTGGCCGAGACGAACAGAGCTGGGCTTAAAGCAACCTCAAGACGGGCGATCCAGGGCAAGAAAGGTCAAAGTGTGCATTTCAACCCGCAGTTCGAGCAAGCAGGAACTCAAACACCCTCAATTCTCACAAACGATGGGATTCATGAACACTTGCAATCGCCGGGGTTCAGAGAAGATGACGAGGGCTTATCGCTTTCTAGTAGAGAGATGTCCACTGTGAATTTGCGCGAGGGCACCAGCGGGCTAAGTCGCGAGAACAAGCTCACGTACAGACTGCTTCAAAAGGAATTGGAGCTGCTCTCGTTCAGTGATCTCCCCGCCAAGGGCCAGCATATCATCCTCAATGAGCTCATGAAGAAGATCTCGAAAACGGACGACACGGCCGTGATTTTCTCGACGCTCCCCGCTCCGGCAATTGGGTCTCATTTGGATGACGAAGAGTCGCTCGCATACACCAATAGTCTTGCCATCTGGCTCGATGGATTGGCACCCGTGCTTCTCTTGAACTCACAGACCGTTACAGTGACTACATCTTTGTAAAGCGGCATACGAAATTTCGGCCCGGAGTTTAGTGAGGCGTTCCTAAAGGTGTATCGCCTCTTTTGTTTTGGGGCATCTGACTGTGGTCCAACAGGCGAGTGATGTGTGTTTTTCATCAGATTGGGGTATTGAAGTCGCACGGCCGTCCCGTCCCAGTAGTATCATCGACGGCCGGATTGGACGTTGCAAGCTTGCGCCAGAACCAGTCGCTGCATCAAAAACGGCTTTAGAAGAGTCAGCGCCATACAAACTTTTTCCTACTGCTCCGAATATTGCGTATGTTATTTTTTTTCCTTCCCTGCCAGCAGCTCATATTTCTGATGAGCCCAAAGCCGCATACTTGAGCGCGCGAACTTGGGACCAACATACATCGCGCCAGCTCCATCGACAACTGCCTACCATACTTCTTTCAGGTAATACCCTAAAGGTGTGCATCAAACGCAAAATCACTCGTTTACTCTACTGAAAACTAACATGTCCGAAGACCAGCTCGCAAAGCTCGAGAAGCTCGAGAAGCGCAGGCAGCAGCTAGCGAAATGGAAGCTCAAAAAGGCCTCTGCCGAGTCCCCGCCGGCCCCCACAAACACGGGGAAAATCGAAGACACAGACGTTCACAAAGACGCAGCGCGTGCCGCTGATACCGCAGATACAAAAAAGAACGGGGCTCCCCCCTCTGCTGAAGATTTGAGGAAGTTGGAAAGACAGCGGAAGCTAGAGGAGTGGAAGCGGAAGAAACAGCAGGGAGCCTCCGCCAGCCCGCTGCCCCAGCCCCAGGCCCCGTCTCCCGTAGTGCCCCTCGTAGCACCAGGGCCGCAATCCGCCAGCCAAATCCGTCTAGGCGCGTGGAAACTAAAGAAAAACAGTGGGCCTCTGGCCCCCGGAGTCGTAAGCCGCCTCGCCCCGCTTGTACGCAAGCGCACTGGTGCGGTAGCGAGTGTTTTTGCCGCTGAAGACGACGACGAGACCGGCTCGGGCCCGATGTTCCGAGCCCCGGGCACCTCCAAAAGCAGTTATAACCGTGCCGACAATCCGGCAGGGCCCAAACGGGCAAAAGCCGCCCGCAGCGACGAAGCCGGCGACAAGGACGAGCTCGATCTTTTCCTCGAGTCGCTTGAGCGCCCCGGAGACGGCAACCAGCCGCAGTCTGAAGCAAAGAGTGAGCCTGGAATCAGGGCCACGGAAAATATGGCAGTTTTCAGCGCGATGCCCGTGCCGGGGCCGGCAGAAGACGACGACGACGACGACGACGACGACGACGACGACGACGACGACGACGACGACCACGAGGGCGACCGGCTTATTCTGGCGCGAATGAAGAGCTTTGTGAAGGGCAAGGAACTCGCGAAAGTCGACCATCAACACGTGGCTTATACGCCCTTCCGCAAGGACTTCTACATCGAGCTGCCGGCCGTGGGCCAGCTCACTTGCGACGACGTGAAGGCGATGCGGCTAGAAATGGACGGCATCAAGGTCACGGGCTCGCACGTGCCCAGACCTATCTGGGCCTGGGACCAGTTGCCCCTTTCGCCCTTGGTGCGTGCAGTCATGGAGGACAAGCTCTCGTACACCAAACCAACGGCCATCCAGTCGCAGGCGCTCCCCGCCATCATGTCCGGGCGGGACTTCATGGGCGTGGCGAAAACCGGGTCCGGCAAGACATTGGCATTTGTGTTGCCTCTATTGAACCACGTGCAGGCGCAGCCGCCCTTGGCCCGGGGCGACGGGCCCATTGCCGTGCTCTTGACGCCCACGCGCGAGCTTGCGCTTCAGATCTACAAGCAGCTCAGCCATTTCACCAAGAAATTGGCCATCTCGGCGTGCTGCTGCTATGGCGGATCGTCCATCGAGCCGCAGATCGCCGAGCTCAAGAAGGGCTCGCAGGTGGTGGTGGCCACGCCCGGCCGCCTCATTGACTTGCTTGCCGCCAACAACGGGCGCGTGTGCAACTTGCAGCGGGCCACGTACATTGTGCTAGACGAGGCCGACCGCATGTTCGATTTTGGGTTCGAGCCGCAGGTGAACAAGATCTTCTCGCAGATCCGGCCGGACCGGCAGAGCATTCTCTTTTCGGCGACATTTGCCAAGAAGATGGAGAGCCTTGCACGTGCTGTGCTCCTGGACCCCGTGGAGGTGGTGGTGGGTGGGATCAGTGTTGTTGCGCCTGAAATCACCCAGAAAGTCGAGTTCTTCGACGTGAACGACCGTGAGTCTGCCGACGAGATCTTCCAGCGCAAGTTCCGCAGGCTCGTGGACACGCTTGCGCTGTTCCCGCGGGTGAAGAAACTTGTTTTCGTGGAGAAGCAGGACTCCGCGGACGGCTTGCTTGTCAAGTTGCTTGCCCAAAAGATCCCCTGTGTAGCCATCCACGGCGGGAAGGAGCAGATCGACCGCAAGCATGCAATCCGGGAATTCTCCTCCCAAGAGAGCGGCGTGGACGTGCTCATCGCCACGTCCGTGGCCGCAAGAGGGCTCGATGTCAAGGGCCTTGATCTCGTGGTCAATTTCGACCCGCCAAACCACATGGAGGACTATGTGCATCGCGTCGGGCGCACGGGCAGGGCGGGCAACCATGGCGATGCGTACACCTTTGTGACGTCTGAGCAAGAGCGGCCAATCACGGATCTTGTGAAGGCGCTCCGGCTCAGCAAGGTGCCCGACGCGCTCATTGAGCCTCGCCTCATTGAGATTGCCAACTCGTTTTTGGACAAAGTCAAGAGCGGGAAAGAGAAGTTCCGGTTCGGGTTCGGCGGGAACGGGTTGAACAAGCTCGACGAGACGCGGAACTCCACCAAGCTGATGGAGAGGAAGGCATACGACGTGGAGTCCGAGCCGAAAGCATCGGGCTCAGCCAAGGCACATGCGGCCGACAAGTCTACGCCTGAAGCGGCCCTTGACTTGCCGGAGTTCAAAGTCATCGAGGGAAGGGCCGAGGAGACGTCGGGGCCAGATAAGTGCAAGTTCCACTCGCGTGTCACCATCAACGATCTCCCTCAGAAGGCCAGGTGGATAGTCATGAACGCGGACAGTCTTGCGCAAATCATCGAGGCCACCTCTACGTCCATTACAAACAAGGGCCAGTACTACGCGCCGAAAACAAAAATCCCCGCCACGGTGAAACAAGGCGGGCGTGACGTGCCTGCTCCGCCGAAATTGTACTTGCTTATCGAGGGACTTACGGAAAACGCGGTGAGCGAGGCGAACCGCATGCTCCGGCTCAAAATGATTGACGGGCTCGAACAGGCCGCCGCAGACGAGGGGCTGGCTGCTCCAGGAAAATACACAGTCTAGCGGTGCTGGACAAATGGAGGCTCGCTTGCCAGGAACGTATACCGACTTTTGGGAGTACTCCCTGTGCTCCTGTTCGTGGGGAGGTCGCGTCCTGCACAACGCGGGCCAGGTACATCCTCGGCACGATCGACGTGGGGTACCGATGAATGCTCGTACGCGGGCCACGCCACCATTAGCCCGTTTTGGTTTCTCTTTCTTGTCACAGGTCTTTTTGTGGTTGTGCCATCAGTACTAGAGAATCGAGCCAAAAGACTCAAGACCACAATGACTTTTGACGCACAGGTCTTTGCCAGATTCGAGAAATGGGCGGTGAAGGAAATCGAGCCAGGGTTCGTTCACGTCATGTACAACAACCCTAAAACATTGAATGCCTACGCGGAGGAAGACTGGAGGGCGTATCATGAGATCTTGACGCAGCTTGACAGCGATGCGGACACGAACGTGATCTTGATCTCCTCGTCGTTCAGCAAGGCGTTTTCATCGGGCTTGAACTTGAAAGCGGCAATGCTGTTGGTGGATACAGGCGAAAGCCAGACTTTTGCGCTGAAGAAAAACAAGATGTATGCGCATATTCGCGAGTTCCAGGACGCCATTGCGACGCCTGCGCGCATGAGGACGCCCACGATTGCGTTGCTCAATGGCGTGTGCTACGGCTTGGCCATAGACATTGCTTCTGCGTGCAGCATCCGGATTGCCACGCAAGACGTGAGGTTCTCGATCCGAGAGATCAAGATCGGCATCGTCGCGGATATGGGCTCGTTGCAGCGAATCACAAATCTCGTCGGCAACAAGTCGTTGGTGCACCAGTATGCGTTGACAGGAGAGGTGTTTGGCGCGGAGCAGGCGCTCGGCTTGGGGTTTGTGAGCGAAGTAGTGCCCGACTTCGACGCCGGCATCGCGCGCGGTTTGGAGCTAGGCCAGGACATCAACTCGAACCCGCAGTGGGCAATCAAGGGGACGAAAGAGTCAATCCAATTCATGGTGGACGGGGGTGGTCACGAGCAGGGCTTGTTGAACATTGCCGAGTACAACGCTGTGCACTTGGTGGGAGGGCTCCCGGCCAATGGCTTTGGCAAGCCCAAACTCTAGGTAGGTGGGGAGTTTCGAGTCAGTGTTTTAGCGTATGTCGCTGGGCGCACGGTCAGTGTTTTTGTCCAGGCCTGCGGTCAGGGCTGGTTTGTGTTATGTGGCTAACTGGTGTATGGCGAGAGATGCGTATGGTAGGACTTGACAGATCACAAGACTCAATGTATGGATTTGACGAGTGACAAGATTTGACAGATCGTAGGACTCAAAGTATGTATTTCACGAATGACAAGATTTGACAGATCGCAAGACACAGCGAAAGACAAGACATGTAGTAAGAGCTAAGTTTTGAAGACTTGGCGTATTGCAAGACTTGATGTGGCAAGCTGTAGCTCATGGCGGGAGCGTATTGCAAGACTTGACATAGGGCAAGACTCAATATACCCTAGCTCAACATATAGTAGGACTCCATATATAATCTGACTCAACATATACGACATAACATATAGTAAGACTCAACGTATTGAAACTTACCATGCGGCAAGACTCGATATACAGTAGACTCAACTTACAATAAGACTCAACATACAGTAAGACTCAACATACAGTAAGACTCAGTATATCGTAAGACTCAATTTATAGTAAAGCTCAACATATGAATGAAACTTCACGTATACAAGACTCAGCACATGTAAAGACTCAACATATATGAGGACTTAGCCTACGTCCGGCATTAGGTAGCATACATCAGCATACGACAAGACTTAGCCCATAGTACGACTCAAGATATAGTCAAGCTCAACACATAGCAAGACTTGACATGTAGCAAGACTTGACAGATAGCAGAACTGAACATATAGTAATGCCAAACATATGTTCAGACTAAAGATATCCAAGACATAGCAAGACTTAACATAAAGCAGGATTCAATATGTCCTGAATCAAATAACAAGACTCATCACATACCAAGCCCGAAGACAAAGTAGACCAAACACACGAAAAGGCATAAATTGAATTGTCTCAACATATAGTTAGACTCCGCAAATAATGAGAATCAGCTGATAATAAGACCCAGTATATAGTAAGACTTTACACACGGAAAGACATATGAAGACTCAACATATGGTAATACTTGACATATGTCCAGACTTCACATATCGCAAGACTCAATATATAGTAAGCCTCAATTAATAGTAAGACTTGACATCGCAAGTCTCAAAGTGTGCCGACTCAAGATATAGCAAGACTTAGCTTATGGTACGACTCGAAATACAGTAAGTCTTCACAGATAGCAAGACTCAATGTGTCCTGAATCAACATATAGTAAGACTCCATATAGTAGGACTATACATATAGTAAGACCTAACATATGTCCATACCTAACATCTAGTGAGACTCAACACATACAAGACCTATCGTACAGGAAAACTTAACATAGGGTATCACTTCACATCTTTCCAGACTTTACGTATAGTGAGACTTCACATATGACAAAATTTCGCATATGGTGAGACTCAACATCAAGTAAGACCCCACATATAGGAAAACTTCACATATGGCCGGAATCAACATAGAGTAACTCTTAGCATGTTGCAGTACTCCACATATAGTAAGACGCCACATATAGTAAGACTCCACGTATAGTAAGACTTCACATATAGTAAGACTTCACATATAGTAAGACTTCACATATAGTAAGACTTCACATATAGTAAGACCTCACATATAGTAAGACTTCACATATAGTAAGACTTCACATATAGTAAGACCTCACATATAGTAAGACTTCACATATAGTAAGACTTCACATATAGTAAGACTTCACATATAGTAAGACTTCACATATAGTAAGACTTCACATATAGTAAGACTTCACATATAGTAAGACTTCACTTATGTCCAGAATCAATATATCGGGATACTCAAGCATATCAAGGCTTCACACATAGCAGGACTCAGCATATAAATGAGACTCATCATATGACAAGACTTAACGATAGTAAGACTTGCCACTTCGCAAGACACAGCATAATATATAGTGAGCTAGTGAGACTCAATCTACAGTAAGTTATCAAGACGTAACATATAGTAAACCCTTCACATATAGCAACTCTCAGCATATGGCAAGACTTACCATAAAGCAACACTCACATATATCAAGACTCAACATATGTCAAGATTCAGCACACAGTACGACAAATCACATAGTAAGACCAAATATAAAGTAAGCTTCAACATTGTAAGACTTAACATATAGTAGACTCTTAATAAATAGTAAGCACCGAGACAAAGCAAGACTCAACACAAAGTAAGACTCAGCATATAGTATGACTAGACATATAGTAAGACTAGACATATAGTAAGACTCAGTATATAGTAAGACTCGGTATATAGAAGACTCAGTATATGGTAAGATTTGACATGCCAAGTCTCAGTTCCTCAGTATATAGTACGACTAAACATATACTAAGATTCGACACATCTAGCATATACTAAGACTCGACAAATCCTAAGGCTTAACATATAGTAAGACTCAGAATATCAGAATATAGTACGACTAAACGTATAGTAAGACTCATCAGATCCAAAAGACGACACCTACCAAGACCTAACATACAGTAAGACTCAGTATATGGTAAGATTTGACATATGACTAGACTCGGTTTCTCAATATATAGTAAGACTCAACAAAACCAAGACCAACACATACCAAGACCAACACATACCAAGACTCAACACATCGTAAAACACAATATATAGCAACACTCATCAAGACCCGGCATGCCACACGCAATGCCCAGACACGTGCCCAGACCCAGCATTCCAGGCGCAGGCCCCGTGTCTCCAGCGCAGGCCCCGACCAGCCGTGCCCCGAGCAGCCCAGCGCGGCGGCACGTGACTGGCCCCGCGCTGGGTGCAGGCCCGGCTCGCACAAGGTGAAGCGAGTGAAAAACGCCCCGGCCATTTCTCCAAGCGTGCAATGACGGGACTCGCCACGCTCTTCCGGACCCGCAGCGGCCGTGTGTCTAGTGTGCAGCGGCACTTTTCCACATCCGCGCCCAGAACGGCCGCGCCCACGCCGGCCGCACCCAGAACGGCCCTAGTCTCCGGAGCCGAGTCGGCCCCGCAGACCTTGGCCCAGCTGCTAGCAGCTTCGCCGGCAGCAGCGTACCTCGGCAGCCTCTCGGCGCCCCGGCACGGCCCGGACACAGCCACCACGCCCGGGCGCAGCGAGCTTGTCAAGGCGGAAATCGCCCGGCTCTTGCGTGAAAAGCGGTTCGACGCGTTGCTCGCGACCGTGTCCCGATGGACGTCGCCAGCACTGCGCGTGCCGTGGCACACGGTGCTCTTGCCACGGGAAATGGCGCACGTGCTCCGCCGCTTGGTGGAGTACCAGAAACACATGCTCTTCAAGGCCAGCTCGGCCAAGATGATGGCGCACAAGGACGCCGCGCCGCACATGGCGCACGTGCGCCGGCTCCGCGAGCAGATCCGGGCCGTCTACGCCAACATGCTCCTGGCGCCCGGCTCGGACGCGCCGCACTTGTACGCCAAGGGCTCCGGGCCGCTTGCGCCGGGCGCCGCCGCCGCGCTGCCGCCGCGGTTCTCGTTGGCCGCGGCCGACTACGAGAACTTGATTGAGCTCGAGTTGAACAACGCCAAGTTGGACTTGGCGCTGCGCTGGTTCCAGCACTTGGACCGGCAGCACGGGCCGGCCGCGCCGCGGCTCCGGACGCACCGGCTCGGCGTGCTCCGCTTCCAGGTGTACGGCAACGCGCAGCTGTCGCTCTGGCGCGTGGAGCGGTCGCCGTTGAACGACGTGGTGGTCGACCCGCGGCAGTCGTCGTTCAAGCACGCGCAGAAGTGGCCGGACTTGTTCCGTGCGTACGCGGCGCAGCAGGGCGCGGCGGTGGGCGCGGCCCGCCCCGTGTTCGACTCCGCGTTCGTGGCGGTGATGCTCCTGCTGGTAGCGTACGACAAGAACGTGAAGCAGGCCGCGCGGCTCGTGGAGGCCAACTGGGGGCTTGCGCCGGACGGGCGGCTCGTGCCGGGCTTCCGCCGCCCGGCGCCGCTGGACCCCCTCTTCCCGGACTTGGACGTGCTCACGGCCGTGGTGGTGGCCCTGCTCTTCAACCAGCAGTACGTCAGCTGCATGGCGTACATCAACGCGTTCCAGGCGCACTACGCCCTCGACGTGGGCGGCCCGCACAGCCGCCGCTTCTGGGACCAGATCTTCCGCTGGGCCGAGATCGCCTCGCGCTTCTCCGAGGCCCGTGCGTTCCAGCACTTCGTGTCCTCGACGGGGGCGCCGGTGGCCGCCGGGACCGCAGACGCCTTCCCCGCGGCGCTCGACGAGGCCAAGCAATCCGCGGCCTTCGACTACGAGCGCTTCTTGGCGTTCGTGGCCGGCTTGCGCCGCCAGCGCCACGGCTTGCTTGCCGAGCTCTGGAAGTGTTTCCACGAGTCCAGCCCGGGCTTCTCCGCCCGCCCGTACCGCACCTACATGCACGTGGCCGCGGAGCTCTTGCAGCCGCTGGTGGTGCTGACCGCCGCCGAGTGCGAGCTCCAGGGCGCGGCGCTATGCTATGACATCTTGCGCCGCCTCGCGGACGAGGCCGAGGCCCACTCGGTGGCGCCGTGTTCGTTCAATGCGCCGCTGGCCCGCGCCACGGGGGAGCGCATCCGCTCGCTCTATGCGCAAACCTTGCGCATGCTTGTGCACGCCAAGGGCCAGGCGGGGCACATGGCGGAGATCCCGTACATTGCTCGCAAATGGAGCCTTGACACCGTTATGGAGCGCGACGTGCGCCTGTGGGCGCAGCGCAGGGAGAACGTGTATTTGCAAAAGATGCTGGAGCTCGAGCTGCGCCGGTTGCGTGAAGACGAGGACGACGGCTTTTTGGACCTCCTCTAGGGGCCCGACGCAGGTGCCGGGGCACGTGTCTGCTTGAGCAGGGCGTGTCATGACGACAGAAGCAGCGAAGATGGAACCAACGAAGCTGGAACCAACGAAACGGAACCAACGAAACGGAACCAACGAAGTTGGAACGAACGAAGTTGGAACGAACGAAGTTGGAACGAACGAAGTTGGAACGAACGAAGTTGGAACGAACGAAGTTGGAACGAACGAAGTTGGAACGAACGAAGTTGGAACGAACGAAGTTGGAACGAACGAAGTTGGAACGAACGAAGACACAACCAACGAAAACACAACCAGCGAAGACACAACAACGAAGACGGAAGCATCAAACCATCATACCAACATACCAACATACCAACATACCAGCGGAAGCAGGCGGACGAAGAAAGGCAAGAAAACAGGCGCAAAGTTCAAAAGGAAAGCAAACGATTGAAAGAAGATCAAAGATACAAGATGAGAAAGAATCGATAGAGGAAAGACCAAGAAAAGGGACGAAAGACCTTCAAGAAAGAAGAAGAAAGATCTTCAAGAAATCCAACTTCCTCCTGCCGATGGCTCGTGCACCGGCTGCGAAACCAGCGACACGGCCGTCCTGCACACGCCGCGATAACCGTGCGCCGGCCCGCGCACGACCCGCGCCCGCGTCTGGAACTGGACACCTCGGCCTTTTCTCTCCACCCAACCACATCACAACAGCAGAAATGGCCGAAGGTTTGGAGAAAATCACCGAGATCCCTTCTGGATTCCTCAAGGACGGCACGGCCTTCATCAAGAAGTGCCAGAAACCCACCCAAAAAGGTATGTGACCGCGGCCGTCTTGGCAGCTTTCGATGACTCTGGATTGCCCTGATTCCCCAGCCCGCCGGCCCCGTGTATTTCTAGCGTGCTGTTTCATGACGCAATCAGAAATCGACGCTTTTGTGAAAACGGAATGTCGATGCTTCTGTGAAATCGGGATGTCGACGCTCGTGAAAATGGAACTTCGACGCCCTTGTTCAGGGACATGTTGGCCTTGTTGTACGCGTGGCCATGTCCCCTCCAAACACCACAACAGACCACAAGTCCTGGACTCAGGCTCCCGTGTCGCCGCAAGTACTAACTATCTGCAGAATACTTCAAGATCATTAGAGCCGTTGGCATTGGTTTCGTCATGATGGGCGTGGTGGGTTACGTGGTCAAGTTGTTGCACATCCCCATCAGATACTTGATTGTGTAGGCAGCTCGCACCATAACAATGAATACTAATAAACGTACACGAAGAATGAACCGTAGGCTTCGGGGTGCCGAACAATTGCCCTGGTCATGTGACTGCTCCTGGCGGCCTTCGGCGGAGGAGAGCTTTGTTTCTGGACGCTTCTAATCAATCCTTTTTCGTTTCTTCTTATTCTGCCATTTCAGGCAAGGTTTTCTTTGGCTTTCCTTCCATAAATTGTTTCGTATGCTCGTGTAGACCACAATTATTGCTGATGGCTGGTTGTGGTTTTATACTGATGAATACTTTAATCTTGCACGCCGTCTAAGGTGACGTGTTTCTTGATACTTGACTATGTTGTGTCGCAAACTTCAAAGCGTCTCGTTTCCTTTTTGTCTCCTTTGCGATATACTCAAATATGGCTATTGCAAGGATCCTTGTTTCATTTAGAAAAATGGTAATCAAATGAACTATCTTTTCTAGTTCAAAATATTATCAGCCAGGTTTAATCACACACAAGATCGAGAATTTCTTCCTCTATTGCATCGGTTCAGGCGTATATACGCGAGTGTATGATATAAATGTCTGTCTGATTAAAATGAAGCTCCAGACTTGTTTGTTAAGTAATCCTTTTCATTCTTTCTTTTGTTGGTGATATTTATATTTTTCGCGAGTTGATGGCAATTCTCATTTTTTCACTTTTCAATCTAATTAGAGAAAAATTAAGAGGTAGTTTATAGGTTTTTTCAAGATCCCTCGAAATTGGTATGTGATAGCAAAACGTAGCACAGGTAATCGGCTTAAGACAAACAATTGCTAGCTTGTTAACTATATTTTGCAATAGTCGCTTCAATTAAGGAGTTTAGAATTGGAAGAACATACTCTCTACAACTCGCCGCGTCTTTAAATATAAACCTCGACAAACGCGATGCAGAACCAGATTAATTCTTTTGATGAACGCCTCAATTTACAACCAGTTCTTTGGAATCTTTGACTGTTGATTTATTTCAATCACGTGCAATGGCTTCCAGCACATTATCACTGAGGCTAGAAGCCTAATATATGACCATACCTTGGTATTGACTGGCGTAAAAAGGACTCGCCTCTCTCTCATCTGTACCTTTGTAAGCGGTGGATCCAAAGTTACATCGACCCGCTAAAGCACAGACGGCATAATGACTTTAACTTGAATTTTCGGAGCCTTGACTATACTTATCTATCGACTTTTCAAGATTATTTGTGGTAAGTCCACACATCCTTAAACGTACCGAATTATTTGAACATACTGACTGGCAAACCCGTAGGCCAGATTTTTGATTTGCAGATGAGCAACTGCATACTCTAAAAAATGTATACGCATCACCGTATTGCACCAACTTCTGAGTTTTCTCAAACGAAGCTGCAATAATCCCACGCCTAAAACGTCTCAGATTTTTTAATGAGTTTTCGAACCACTAGAGGCCATCACTGCTTACACATTCTCCGAGTACATAGAAACAAATTCTGATACTAAGTATTAGTCCAATTCATTAGCGCATTTGGCCAGCCATGAAACGAAAGAGCTCGCAACAAAAGGCATACCGTGAAAAAAAGATTGCAGCACCACAATTTCGCATATGGTCTCCCACTACACTACTCAGTGTGGCCCTATGCAGCTTAACTAACGTTGATCGGACGGGAAACAGTGCTTCCTGCATGGTATGGCCGCAACCGAAATTATACTTTGAAGCAAGTAGACAAAGCTCAAACGCGACATTATGTTGCTTTTCTCAATTGCTCAGATCCAGGAAATTGCATCACCTTATTTTTGACAATTTGCAATGTACTTGCACTTTGTTGTAAGCTGCACTATACTGGTTCAACTCCAATGGGAGCTGTTTAAAGGTTTTTTATATATATTAGTTATATAGTTTTGCCCCTTTAATCAGATGAATATACCAAAGAAAAACAAAAATCCAACAATCCGAGCTGAATCGACAAAAAAAAAGCTGAAGCGACTACTACAGGAGACTTATCAATGGCGTGATTTCCAGATGCTTGCTTCTTTAAATACTTCCTTTGACAATTTAAGAAACCAATTAAGGTTTCTGAAAGTTGTTCGCAGGGCTCATTTGCTTAGGGACCAAGAGGCAAAGACAAATGTACGTCTTGCCGCCTTGTCAAAGGACATATGGCCACGGGATCCCAGGAAAACATACTCTATGGGACTTTGACATGTTGTTAATTTTATTGACACTGGTTATTTGCAGATATAATAATTTTTGAGGGGATCACATCCTTTGGGAGATTTCGTGAATTGGTGCTCGCGCTTTCTCACCTGAGCCAATGTTGCGATCTATTATAGGTTTCTTCCGTTAGTGGTTGAATGTTACATCCCTCCAGTGAGATTTTTTGAGAACAAAAAGGAAATACAACTTGCTACATACCTGCAAATGGCTACTATCATGGTATAAGCTGATTGAATCTAATTTCGCTTTTCATGATATGCCATCTGTTTCCCGTCGAACTTTGTTAAAAATCGAGTTGCAGCGCCAGTTTTGCAAAAAAGAAGCTACAAATACTTGGAGGGTCACGAAAACCTCTGCTGTGAAAGATTCAAACACTGGTGGAAAAAGCTCAATTATGCATTCACATGAAATGTTAGCTACAAGCGCTAAATTGTGGGAGAACTTAATAATATGAGTGGTATGATCACCACAATAGTCAAGGTATATGCGAGTCTCGGGAACTCCCCCGCTACCGCCTAAGTTGAAAAGACTACTCCAGGAGACTTATTTTAAAACCTGACGACAAAAAGTCTACTATGGGAATACATGCGTGTTAAGAAGGCCCTCATGCCGTTTCCTATATTCACTCACGTCAATAACTTCACGCTTCACAGATGCTTTTTACTCAAGATTACACTGACTGAACCTTAAATCAGTTCCATTTAGATATGGCCCCTAAAGAACATATGCAACATTCGACCATCATAGTAGCCAAAAGGAAGTTTGCTTTTCTGAGTTGCATCTCTATGTGTGATCAGTTTCCATGATCATTAGAGGAGCAAGGATATCAACGAATGCGCCACCATGAGCTGATTAGGTAAATGCTCTTCTGTGGAGTACAATGTAATTTTTAAAGTGTGGACAAACGCACTCTCTTCTTCAGATATGGGAGACTGATTGACAAGTACATTTATTTTATGTCTAAGTCTCATGACTCAAACATTCCCTACAGGCTACTCAATGCGGTAAGCCGTCTCATAGGAAACAATCCTTTGGAAACTCGTAATTTGCAGGCCGTGTTTCTAAAGAAAATGTTTGGAGACTGAAAATTTACAAAACCTGCGAAGCCAATAAAATTAAGCCCTGACCCCTGGGTCTATTAAGATACTCGATGTAACATCAAAAGGAGACTCAGTATTCTGTTTGAGCCTTTTAAATCTTCAAAAACTGTGCTTTGCAAGTAATATGTAAGTGGTGAACGAGACGGGGTTTCAATTGGTCGGGGTTTGTCCGGCAGGTCCCGAAACAGTGCAAATAGAGAAGCGTAAAAAGATTGCAATAAATAGACTAAGAAGAAAACAAATGAGTTGCCTTTATTTCTGAAAAGATTTGGGGTTCTAGAAATGGCAATACACGCTGAGAGCATGTTTCGGGAAGACTCATTTATCCTGGAAAGATGCATAGTGTTTCTGAAACGGGTTGTTGAACTAGCTGGGCTCTGTAGTCTACCGTCACATTGAGGAAGCGACTTGAATACCCAAAGAAAAGAAGGGGATTCTCGAATTCAGCTTCACTCTGCTGTAGTTCCAAAACAGGATAATCTTTTGATATTCTGAACTTGGTCACGTAATTCGATTCGCATAAGCTTCTGTTAGATAACAAAAAGGACGAATTGAAAGGACTTCCAAGTCCTTCTTATGACGGTCCCAAATCATGCTTTTTTAACGGAAAATTACAAGTGGGTATCACCAAGCATCTTGAAAAGGACACGTGAAATCAAAGCGAGGCGTTCTATCAGGTTGGTACGCTTCATGGAACTGCCAAAATATGTGAGTCCGTTAACTAAAGACCGTTACATATGCCAAATAATTTATGTTTGTTTGGAAACAGTTTTGGGATCTGTGGCATCTTTATGATCCTCTACGACGAATTCCAGCTTTGACACAAATTTATCCAACTTCAGATTGTTGAATGGACTATGATCACTGAGGCAGTCTATGACCCGGGACCTGATTGCTACGGATAGATAGCACCATTGCGTTTGAATTTGATGAGTCTTCAAAACAAAAACAAAAAAACCGCAGCCGAACGATATAAGATAGCAGATTAACGGACCCTTTGACAAGTAGCATCATCAATTGACTGGCATCGACTACGATGTCACATAGTATTATTTTCTCCTGGTGTCCTGTTTTCTGATTGGATAGTCGATACTTCTTCCACCTGTGTTCCTGCCAATATCATCCTCATATCATCCATATATCATCTAAAGCATCATCCACATATCAGCTGAAGTATATCATCCCAAGTTCACCTGTATGCAAGCCTAATTTCATGAAGGCCGATGTACCACAAATGCACAGGTTCCTACAACCTACATAGCAGAACTAAGCACACCCCGTCCAGCCAAGCAAATCGGTATCCTAGCAACAGAAAGAAAAAACTCGTTTATTTATCAGTTTATCATCAACCAGCCCACGTCTCATCGCCTCCACCATATCTCCTGCACTATGTGCGATGCGAGATGCGATGCGCTATTTTTTCCAGCTTGGCTAGGAACCCAGACTATTGATGTGAAGGAACCAGGCAAAACATACAGTGCCATTGAAAACATCGCTCGCATACACATCCGACCCGCTGCCGAAAAGCGTGTTCCAGTCTGTGCCAAAAGCTTCTGAATCACCCAAAACCGTCGCTGCAAAATGGCCAAAGAAACCTCTGCGTTCGTCAGAAAATTGGCCCACAATGACCCGGCCATCCGGAAGTCTGCATTTGCCGCCTTGACGAAATACTTGCAGTCGCCCTCGGGCCAGAAGCTCCGTTTCCATGATCTCGAGAAATTGTGGAAGGGCCTCTACTATTCCATGTGGTTCTGTGACAAGCCCATCCCGCAACAGAACCTTGCGGGCGACTTGGGCGAGCTTTTTGCCAAAACGGTGCCGCAGAACAAATTGGCCGATTTCCACCGTGCGTTCTGGGCCGTCTTGATGCGCGAGTGGCACTCCATTGACAAGTGGCGCCTCGACAAGTTTTTGATGTTAGTCAGACGTGCGGTCAGAAACAGCTTCTTCCGTCTTGCCGAGCACCAGTGGCCGCAGCTGGAAGTGTCGCAGTTCCTCGCGGTGCTCGAGGAGTATCCTCTTTCCAATAACGTCAAATTCCCGCAATCCTTGGCCTACCACGTGTGCGACATCTACCTCGACGAAATCGAGTACGTGATCTTCAAAGACTTCCGTGACTACAGTGAGGAAAACGACGACGACGAGGAAAGCGAGAGCGAAGACGAAAGCGGTGATGATGCGGAGCTCCCGGCCAAAAGCACGCCTAAAGCCCCGAAACCCTCGTTGGGCGAGAAAGAGACTGAGGCCAGAAAGGCGGATATCATTGCGCAGACGCCGGTTTCGTTGTTGCTCGGGCCGTTCGAGAAATTGGCCTCTGGGGCCAAGAACAAGGCCATGAGGAGCAAGGTGAAAGAAGAAATTTTGGAAGACTCGCGGGTTCTCAAATGGACGGGGGCCGAGCCGGCGAGCAGCGACTCCGAGGACGAGTGGACTGGTTTCTAGGCGACGGGGCGGCCTGAAAAAAACAGCATCAGACTACGGGGCCGAGCACGGCGCCAGAAAACGGGCATCGCGGCCGAGTCACCAAGCCGCACCATGGAAACAGCCCCGAAAACCAGCCCATACAACCGGGACTGGAAAGACGGCGGAGGCCGCACGTGACCTGGCCTAGTAGATAGTCACCTGCGGCGGCCCTCCTTAGGGCGCCCCGCAAAAGAAGCAAATATCAGCTGAATATTCAACCCACGGCATTTGGTTTGACGGCCCCGGAACTTGCAAGTTCCGGCATCGTAGTGGCCGATCGGGCCGGCGCCACGCCCGGAGAACGCCGGTCACGTGACCCGCCTTCCGGGCCCTTGTGTTTATGGATTTCCACCAAAAGCCACCGCCAGCCAAGTGGCCAGAAATGCCGGCATTGTATCCACGAAACCACCCTAGGCCTGCCGGGTGCTTCCTGCATGGCACTCTGGGGGTCGTGCGCGGCACACAACATCACCAGTCACCAACCAACTCACCACCGCCTCCAATCATCCCTCCATTCTCGGACTCCGCGCCCATACAAGCTCAGCACAACTCTCCCTAGCTCCCTGAAATCGGTTGTCATGGCACTGGGCTCCAACAACCTGTACATCCCCAAGTACATTCTGGATGTGCCCTGGTACTACAAATCTGGACTCAAAGCGGAACAAGCCGGCGCCGAAGATACCCTAGCTCACCACAGAAAGACGCCGGGACAGGCACCCGTGCACCACAGCGAGCCGCAGGCCGGGGCGGGCATTTTTGATGAAGTGACGCACGTGAATGGCACGAAAACTCGTGTTGCAGACGACTACGACGCCAAACGGGACCGCTGGCACGGCCACTCGGCGGACGAGTGGGACGAGATTCTCACGCGGTGGGAGGCTGTGAAAAAAACGGCGTCTCGGGGCCAAAATATGAACGAGGACTCTGACGACACGGATTATGAGTTGGAGCTCGAGGAGCTTGGGCTCAGTCGCTCCGATTTGAAGACCGGCCACGTCGAGGACCCGTTGGAAAAGTCCATTCGAGACCGCAGAGATGTTCCTGCGTACATCCGGGCCATCAACGGCAATATGGGCGGGAAGATCAGGGTGGGGAAAGATTCTACGGTGGGCGTGGTCAACGAGGACTCGGAGTTCGTAAAGGAAAGTGCCGATGTAGCCGAGTTTCGCCAGGCGCAGAAATTTGCCTGGGAGAAAAACAAGGCGTTTGAGGCCGAGCAGAAAAAGGCTCATTACGACGCCCAGTTGGCCAGTTTGAAGAACCCCAATGTGCCCATTGAAGAGCAGCCGGCGGCAGACTTGAACTTCAGTATGGAGGCCAGTCCTACCATGATGATGTTGCAAAACCGGCAGAACGAGCAGAGGCGCAAAGACGCCGGGGAAGCAAAACGGAGGAGGCTCATGGAAATGTACGGCTCGTGATATGGCCGACCTCTTGCATTTGGAATTCTTTGATGTTCCTGTGTACCCTTGAACCAGGTTTTCTGGAAGTGCACTCTGTGATCTGGAGAATGCCTGGTGGGTTGGAGTGTACGTGGCTTGTTTCGAAGAGGCGATTCCGGTCTACATTGAAATAAAGAGGCGAAGTGGTGAGGCTAGAAGGGTAGGTCTGTTTCACGATCCACTATTTCAAAACGTTCTGAAGTGAGCTGCCCAAGTGTGCTTCAGATGCTCCACTTACAATGCTCCACCTCAGACTTCAACATCCTGCGCTTCACGATGCTCCACTTCATATGCTCCACTTCAAAAGCTCCGAAGCTCCACTTTAGATGCTCCACTTTGAAATGCTTTACTTACAAGACATCACCTCGGAAACATAAGTCCATCGGGCAACCAGCCGAAGCGGGAGACCCAACACTGCAGGCCCATTCACTAAGAGCACCCGTCTCCGCACAATTTTGGACGCTCGCTTTAAGGATGCCACGGCCCACCACCCATGCATGTACAAAACAGAAAGCAATTGTGGAGCCATGCACTTCGGCTTTTCGCATCTCTGGAGGACGCTCCAAATACAGCTCTTATTGTGATGCATTTTGCTGAAAGTCTGTCTGAGAGGGAAAATTCGAGGGAATGGCTGGAAAGACATTATGCTGTACAGAAATGTTCTCGTATCACGCAAGAAAACAAGAAACACCGCGGCAACTACTCAATTCTGTGCTCTTTCCTTGATTCTCCGGAGCATCTCGAGCCCCCTGACCAACTCAGCCTCGGCCGTGTCCCAGTCCTCGTAGTTCAAAGCGGAAATGGCAAACTTAGCGTGTTTTTGGATCCTGCTCACCTGCTCGGTGGTGTCAACAATGATGGGGAGCGACTCCTTTGTGACATGCAGCACATTGGAAGAGGCCGATCTCTGCAGACCTGGCTTCGGAAGCTCGGGGGCTTCCTCGCTTTCGCCGTCATTTCCAGCGCCGGTGGGCTGGAATACCCGAATCGAAGATTTCTTGTTCACATGGGAAAGATCGTCATCCGGAAGAAGTTTGGGTGCACCAGGCAATTTTGGGGTGCTGGGATCTGAGCTAGAACCTGCGCCGGGGTCAAACCTTGGGGCCCCTGGAAGCTTGAATTCGGCCTCTTCCTCAGACTCGGGGGCTGAACCGGCCCCTGGTTGATATTGGGGTGCCGCTGGGAGTGAAAAGCCGCCGTTTTCAGATGTGCCCAGATTTCCTCTGGAGCGCTGAAAACCACGGGTTTCCGTGTTTGTTTCGTCGGAATGTTTGCCTGTGGCCGGCGCGTTGCCATCTTCGATTTCGGCCCCTTTTTCAGGCCCCAAACCTTCAAGACTGAGGGCTAAGGCGTCCAATTCCTGTTCCTCGCCCTTGACTGGGATTTCGTCCTTGAGGAGCCGGCTCAACTGGAACTTCAACGTCTTGATTTTGTCTTTGGTGAATTTCATGAACTCATCTTCCGACTGGCACTGCCCGGCGGAGGTCTCCGCAAAGTCTACAGGCTGGGCTACGTTGTCCTGCTTGAAAAGAGGGAAGAGCGACCAAAACGTGATGGTGGCTCGCAACTTCTGCACCAACTGCGGCTTGGACACGCCGTCGTAGCTGCCCAAGTCTTCGAGGCAGCCATTGAAAAGCTTGAAGGCAAACACAAACACGAGATTGGCGGAAAGCTGCCTGCTGTCGAGCACGTGACCCACGTCGCCAGGGTCGTTTTTCGCCTGTTCGGTGTCGTCCAAAAGCTGCATGGTGAACTCCTCGATCTCCTTGCTCAGCGCATGGAGCTGCTGGGACAAAATGTACTCTATCACGTACAATTTGCAGAAATAGCTGACCACCGGATTGACCTCCGAGAGCTCGGCCAGACGGGCTATGAATGGCGCCACCAGCTTATCTGTTTTCAAGGAGGCGGGAATATCGCGGGGGTAAATCATGACAACGGTATGTGAGGGCTCTGGTGAAACGAGTTTTGTTGTTGTGACGCTTTGTTGTATTGTTGGATGGGGAGGGAAGGTCAATGGTGATATCTCTCTGGGTTCTACTGAGGTGCCGTATGCACGACACGCACGCCGCATTATGGGGAAGAGCAATACAAGGGAGGAAACGGCCAAAAAATAGGAGAAAACAGCCAAAAAATAGGGGACAACAGCCAAAACATAGGAGAAAACATTTTTTGGTGTTGTTGAGATACATGTGCTTCTGTAGTCGTGTCTCTAGAAGATCGTTGGATATGACCGCTCGTTGCATGTAGAGCCTATACGTGCACGCATATGCGCCCTGTGAGTCAGAGGATATATGGGTTGACAGACGTGAGCAGAAGTATTCGCAGTTCCAATTTTTGGTTTATCTTTATGTGGGCTGGAAATAGGAAACATGGATATCTCCAGCTCAAAAGCTGCAATCATTCTAGATGTGATTTACTTGGATCGTTTCGTTCCGATGCTCGCTTGACTACATGAGATTACATTTTACGTTGTTTCCTCTTTCATTACTTTTGCGTGAAGTCAACGCTCTTAGGTGTGGAATTTTATATTTGTATAAGACCCTGAATGCCGAAGAAAATATCGAGACATAATAGGGGTGCATACTCCACTATAGCAAGGAGTTTACATATTGTCGAGTCGCTTTATTAGCTTGCCGCAAAACACACAAGTCGATGAAACTTATCGTTTTTTGAGAACCAATTTAAGATAGCTGCTTCCAAGCTTTGGCCTGCGGCCGCCTGTAAGGTGTAAGGAACGTCGAGCTTGAAAGTCCAAATTCAGTATCCGCACATGTAATGGCAAACGCATGCTGTAAAATGACACAGGGTCAAGTCGGACAACATTGATTGAACAGTTTCGATGGATAGATACCGGAACATGCGAGATCCGATCCTCAAATCCTATCTATACACCACTTGTAAAAATAATTAAATCACACGTACTCAGACATCTAAACGGTCGGCTAATCACTCATACAATCAGTCATCAATCAGTCACCCCATCACTCGTATAGCCGCTAATACTTCTATATCTGCTCAGCTTGTAATCAAACCACACATCATAAACTCACCCAGCCACCCATACAATATTCATCTGTCCATTCCCCCTTAGTCTCATATAATCGCTCACAGAATTACCCACAAATCAATCCCCTACAGCCATCTCATACAATCAACTCATTTATAATCTATTTACAAAGTTCAAGCACACTAAGCAGAATACTTCGGCCCCGCCGCTTGTTAAATACTCTTCCTGGAAGTCCAGGCTAGATTCCAACACTCGTTCAGTGCAAGTCTGGCATGCGAAGAATCTCGCCGTCGTTGTTTTCCGTGTCCTTCTGCAACAAAGCCAAGATCTCAGAATCACGCCATTTCTGTGGCAAGGGCGTGACATCGTAATTCTTGGTGGCCCAGTAGTAGATGTCCCAGTCTGGCTCGTCGAGAAGCTGGTCGTATTCGTTCAACTGCTCCATCGAAAAACTCAGGAGATGCTTTTTGGCGAATCTCGACAATAACAAGTCACTCTCCAAAATGCCCCGTTTGCGCGATTGGTAAATCAACCGGGCCCGCTTCACGTCAATCAGCTCGTCGGTCCTCACTATAGGGTCGATTCTTGCCGCAAGTTCATTATACGATGGATTTTGAGGTTTGCCGTGATTGAGGCAGCGCACAAAACGGGTCTGTCTGACGGACTTGGAAAACATGGCTAGTAATTGTAGCAGGAAAAGGCGATATGGAGGCGTGGGGCTGGTTAGATGCGGTGGTGATTTGCCTCTGGGAGGTCACGTGCATCCCGGGGTACGTGGTCACGTGTTCAATGTATCGTCACGTGCTTCCCCGGCGCTCATGGTCACGTGATAGTTCACGTGATTTACGTGGGCCCCTGACGTGTGCCACGGCCCAGGTGTTGCCCGTCCAGTCTCTTAGCTAGTGAGATCTGGTACCAGCACACAGGCCACGCTTGGGACGCCTTGACTTTCGCTTGCTGCTGGTGGCAAAAACAGCGTGTCCTGTATATAACACGGCTGGGTGATTTGGCCGGGCTCTATCTCTTTGTTGGCAGGCATGGCGGTGGAGCCTTGGTGCGGTCATCTCGACGAGCAGTCGTGAGTAATTTAAGGTATGGTGCATGGTTTTTAGAATATAAATTTCAATAGCCGGTAGGGCCATGGGACTTAGAAATTGCCAAGACTCAACAACACCAGCCCGAAAATAGGTCTGTAAAGGCATCCTTCAAACTTGTCAATATTATTTTTCGGGCGTGCCAGTTTTCTTTCAAGTCTGTCGCTAATATTCTGCCCAAATATCCACTCCAGATTCTATATAAGACAGGCGTGGAGGTAATGTGCCAGCTTTGGATGTGAATCTGGTAGATCTGCCTCAGTGCGCATCTTAGTAGGAGTAGCAAGTATTCAATGGGAAGTCTGGAGATCAAAATGTGGAGCCAAGTCAGCAGCAAATAAGCATAGGCAAATCAGTCCCAACGCTTGGAATATTCTGATATGATATGGGAGGCGTGGGCCCTGGACGCATATTTCTCGTTCTTCCAGTAGCTTATCTGGGCATGCTAGGTGGAACTGGGGCTCCATGCATTTGACTGAAAAGTGTGATCGTTCATAATTCCGGGCGTATGCGCCAGCAATACACCGGAATAGTCGTTTAACTAAGTGCCCTGTTTTTTTATCGATATCTGGAGGGGCCCAATTATGGTATCTTGCTGGAGGCAACCAAAGAAAGACCCCATCGCGCTAATAATTAACCACCATATTGATCCACACTTCCTACGATGTATCAAACAAACAGCGCAAGACTTCACATGTGGGGAATTCTAGAACTCCACGTGAAACTCATGATCGTGAGAGTAGGAAAATCAAATCCGAGGGCACTCCTGTCCGACGGTGCTCCGCGGTGCCCACTAAGTCACATCACTTGTACGGTGAGAAAGACAAGAATCGCTCAATTGCTTCCAAAGTTTTGATAAAAAGGTATTTGTTTTATACCAGCTTTACCATTGAAACCACCTTCCTGAATTAGTTAGCAGCCCCGATTTGCATGGCCGAAAACACCAGCCCTCAGTCCCCGCAGGCATACTTCTATACGCACTATTAGCTTTTCTTCCTGTTGGCCCAGCATCAATACTGTAGAGATTTTGCCGTCCTATATACACATCAACTTCATTTTTTTTTTTCATTTTTCTTCATCTTCGTACTTCAATTTTGTTCTCTTTTCTTGCTGCTTTTATCCGGGCTACTCCTGTCTTTGCCTCTCTTCTGGAACCCTCGCCTCCAAACGAGGCCCAGCTCCACACGCAGGCCAAGCCTCTGTTTTGGACTCGCACCTTCTTTAGACAGTACGTGCGGTCGTTCATCATCACGAAAAACGTACAATCACCCCAGAAAAGCCCAGTTTCTTCTAATCGCGTCCATCTGGAAAACCCGAAACTCCAGTCTTTCTGTCTTTTCGTCAACGAGTGCAGTTGTAGCCGCTTCTCCGCCCACCTGAAGCCCATATACGAAACTATGGGGAAAGCTGTGTCGAAACTTTCCAAAGAGGAAATCAAACAGCTACGTGATCGCACGCTTTTCGACAAGCGTGAGCTACAGCAATGGTATAAAGGTTTTTTGCGGGACTGCCCCAGTGGGCATCTTTCCGAGGAGGAATTTGCCAAGGTGTTCAAGCAGTTTTTTCCCTTTGGGGACCCCACCGATTACTGCCACTATCTCTTCCGTATCTTCGACACGGACGGCTCCAAGTACATTGACTTCAAGGAGTTCATCGTTGCACTTTCACTCACGGCCCGCGGCGACCTCAACCAAAAACTTGACTTCACTTTCAAGCTATATGACTTGGACCGTGATGGCAAGATCTATTACCAAGACGTGCTCGCCGTCGTCACAGCAATATATAAAATGGTGGGGCCCATGGTCGCGTTGCCTGAGGACGAACGCACGCCCGACCTCAGGGCTGCAAAGTTGTTCCTGGCCATTGATAAGGACAAGGATTCCGATTTCTTGGACTTCGACGACTTGAAGCGTGTAGTGAAGGCCGACCCTTCTCTCATCAACTCGTTGAATTCGTATGAGGGTTTAGTATGAACTGGTCACGTCTGGCCTAATTTTAGAATTAATACATCCCCCATTATGTGCATACACGTCTTCTTGCTGGCGCTTTCTTCATTGCTGACCCTCAACGGCTTCAAGGAGACCATCTAGCAACTCGTCCACTTCATTGATGTCCACGCCCGTACAGCTGCTCACCACCTTCTTGAACTGCGCCGTGAGATCACCGTAGTTCACCAAGTGTGCCAATTCCTCCTCAAGGTTGTTGTTCACCTCTTCGTATGCCTTCAACCTTGCTTTCAATACATCCAGAGGCGGGAGCGATTCTATCAATTCGTCGGTAGGTTCAACATCCTCACCGCTGGCAAGCTTGTCGTAGATTTCTTTGATGATGAATGGTTCATCCGCGTCGTATTTCTCAAGTGTCGAAACATCGACTTCCCACTCGGGATTGAAAACATCCTCGTCTTCTAGACTCCCGAGACTTTTCTTTAGCAGCTGCATCTTGTCGTTAATGTTCATCATTTGTAATTTCATTGCTTCCACTTGCGACATCTTTCCAGAGATGCTTTTGGCTATAAGCCGGTTGTTTGCCGTCACAATGGTGGCATCTCGAAGTTCCTTGTTCAAATTGTTGATTTCGGCTCTCTTCGAATGTATAACTTTCTCGTACTCTTCATTTGTGTTGCTCAAAAGATCCTGGATCGATTTGAAAATCTTGTTAGAAAGGATAGATGAGCTGAAAACTTCGCTTGTTGGGGTGAGCTCTTTGTCTGGGTCGGCTTCGAGCGCGTCGTCTCTCTCGGACTCGCCAATCTCGGGAAAAGGAAGCAGCTTATTCCAAAACTCGATTCCTGTATGTACAAGCAGGACCAAATACTCGTCATCGTCCGCGTCTGCCTCTAGAGCTTCGAGCAAGGCGGCAGTCGTTGCAGGCGACGAAGAGTTGTTTTTGAAAGCTCTGCGTGCTTCCGCGACTTGATTTACACAGTCGAAGCTGGTTGGTTTCACACCCATGTTGTTGGCCAAGTCCAAGTCGGCATTGAGCTCTAGCAAGAGATACACATACCACTTGAGCCCCTTTTCTGCTGCTGCGTGGAGCGCCGTGTTGCCGCTTTTTGCTTCTTGCGCATTCACGATTTTGCTACACAATGTTTCTAGATGCTGCTTTTTGTCGGGGCTGCCAAACACCCATTCTAGAATCTTGCCGAGGTAGAATTTGGAAGACTTGGGGTTTTTCACTGCCAGCGATATCAAGTAGTGGAGGACGGACTGATTGCTGTTGTCGAAAAGCCACAAGCCAGGCCACAACCAGTTCTGGAGCATGTCGGCGAAAGTTCCTTTCACCATTGCGTTTGTCACCTGCACGGTGGCAGAAAGCGGAGACTCGCCTTTGTTATCGCCGCGCACGGGGGAACAGATCTTGAGCTCTATGAGACTCAGAACCAACGTCGCGCACGCGAGTGTGGCGGCGTAGTGCAACGCGGTTTTGCCTCGTTGGTCCAAAGACACGTCTAGTACTGTCGACGGCGGCAAGCCTTGGGCCTTGCATTTATCGATGACGGGGGCGAGGCGCGCCTCCATGGCCAGCTTCGACAACAGGTCCGTCTCGTCGGACTTGAAGATGTCGTGGAACAAGAGCTTTGCCTCCGCAATGAGCTCGCGGTTCTTGTCGTCGTACGCTGCCGGCGGCACGGTGTAAGGGTAGTTTGCGTTTGCTGCGGCGAGTCTCTTCAAGGACGCCTGGAGCTTTGCCTGGGTGAACACGTCGGCCAGCGGCGACGACGACGTCTTGCGTTTTTTGGTGGGGGAGTCCAGGTAAGCGTCTGTTGCAGCGGCCGCATGGGCGCGTTTTGGCGGCAGCGAGTCGGACGAGGCGGCGTTGGCGGCCAGTGCCGGGAGCCTGTCGAAGTCATGCACGTCCACCAAAAAGAGCGGCTTGACAAGCCTGTAGATGTCGAACTTGACGGCAATTGAGATGGCCTTATCGAAGGAGATCCAGAGGCCGCGGATCTGCGGCACCTCGTGCGCCGTGAAGTCGTTGAAGAGCGGCAACAGCCCGGCCTTGGACTCGGGCAAGTACTGCCTGTTGGTGGTGATCTCGTTGCGGAAAAAGCTGGCGATCTGCTCCGCGGAATAGTGTTTGAGAACCACGAGGATCTCGAGCATCTGCGACACGTTCACGTACGAGTCTTGCACGCGGCGCAACACGGAAACCACGCCGCTTTTCCCGGCGGCTAGCTGGAGCGAGAGCTGGATGAATTTCTGGCCGGAAAACATGGCCAGCGACACGCTTGGCTGCGGTTTTGCGGCGCTGGAATAGCCGCCGCTGGTGGGCGTTTTGTGGAGGTGCGTGCCGTATAATTGGTTGGCAATGGAGCTGGTGGTCGTGTCCCCGGCATACTGGGGGGAGTCCATGGCGGCAGGGGGAGATTCACACAAAAAAAGCGGGGCGGGATTCCGTGTTCTGAGGCGCTTTTGGGAACCTGTTGTGGTCGTGTTTCCCCGGCGGGTTTTTGCGGTGTTCAGGGGCCGTTTTCGGCGCGGGAAAAAGACAGCGGACCAAAGAAGGGGCGGGCAAGGCGTCGGGCGGGTCGAGGGGGTCTGGGGCCTGCGCTGTCCGGGCCGTTTTGGAGCAAGTGCGTGGCTTTGGACCTGGGTTTGTTGTGCTAGTAGAGCCTATTGGGACTAGTCTGGAGAAAAGATGGGTGTCTAACGGGGAGGGCGCCGCGCGAGACGTGTAGACCCGTGCCTCCGCGCGCGCGTGCCATGCGTGTTTGTCACGTGGTGCCCGCCATGCAGTCACCTGTCACGTGGAAAAGGAAAAACCTTCGGCACAGGGACAGTTTTTCTGTTTCTTTCTTCTCGTCCACGGGCGTGCAGGAAAAAAGAAGTATTCTAAGGATCCCAACCACATTTGAGTTGAGAAGTCAGATACTGAAGGTGTTCCGCGGGCGCGGGCTGTATGCAGGCGCGGGTCCTAGTGCCGGCCGCCAGTCTCAGGCCACGGCCCTGGGGATGCCAGACTGTGGACCAGCCTGTTGGGGTGGAATTGGAAGCAAAGTTTAGAGGTAGGGTTTGGAGGCGCAATATAGAGAAAAAAATGAAGGCATAGCTTAGAGGCGGAATTTGGAGGTGTAGTTTGGAGGTGGAAGCTGAGACATAATTCAAAGGTATCATTTAAAGGCACAGTTTAGAGGTACAATTTGAGGCATACTTTGGAGGTAGAATTTGGGGGCACGACCTCAAGGTAGCATTTGAAGACACCGCTTAGAGGTAGAAGATGAGGTACAATTTAAAGGTAAAATCTGAAGGCAAAGCTCAGAGGTAGAATCTGAGGCACAATTCAGAGGTAGAATCTGAGGCACAATTTGAAGGTGGAGCCTGGAGGCACAATTTATAGGTCACATTTGAAGGCCAGCTTAGAGGTAGAATCTGAGGCACAACCTCAAGATAGAATTTAATGGCACAGCTTAGAGGAAAGATTCACAGGCACAACTTGGAGATCGAATCTGAGGCACGAATTAGAGGTGGAATCTGGAGAAATATGGAGGTACAGTACTGAGGCATTGTGCGGGTGGCTGAATGATTGTGAGGTGCAGAATGGGTGCAAGAAGTAGAGGTCCAGTGGGGCAGACGTGGCACATGATGCAGTACGTGCAGAATCTCGTTGGCCATCTTGGAGCCGCTTTGAAAGGCTGGGCTGATGAAGAATTGGGGTGTTATGTGGGGCATCTATAGAATTATCCATATGATCTATTATATAATCATGCATATCATGGTGCTAGTATATCGGGTCTGTCTGGTGCTGTTGTATAAAGTATGGCCACGGTTACTATATAGGGCTTTATATTGAAATGCATTCGGTTTGATTCATAAATGATTTTGCCTGGTGCTACTATATAGGGTTCTATATATTCTTTTGCTAGGTGCTACTATACAGGGTTCTATATATGCTTTTTCTGAATACCACATCAGGATTTGTCAGATCACATGGAGTCGGATGCTATCATCATTGGTCTTGATAGGTTCTCATATAAAAGGCTGTTCTCTGGCGCCACTTAATAGGGCCTTAGATGGGATTCTCTGGTGCTACCATATAGGATTTAGGTCTTGTCCGAGACTCTATATGGCATTGATTCAAAATCCATTATGATTGACACATAGAGAATTATAGGTTTTGTAAGATTTCAGGTTAAGGGTGCTGGAGCGGAAGTTCAAGTTTTCATTTTGGGATTCTTCAAAGATGCCAGGACTAAGGAATAAAATAACTGGAGACCCATGTGTACCGCCACTCTCTTTGGGACCTTCGAAATACAGTTTTGTTATGGGACTATACCCGGTCTTTTCATTTTCCGGTACTATGTCTGCAAACATTTCAAGATTATATTACACTAATGTTCGTGATGACAGTCAGTATTGAGCTTCATTGCTTGCTTATCAAAACACAAACTTAGAAAATTCGGCTTCTAAGCACATAATGGAACTCTCCAGGCGAGCATAATTCCAATTGCCCTACCAAAGGAATAAGAATTGAAATAAATCATTTTGGACTGATTTTTTGGAAGATGCCCTTCATATTATAAAAGCCTCGTTTCCGTAATTTTTTTTTCGGACTCCCAGCTGCGAGAAACTATGTTCTGTGTTAAATTACAGGGAGTTGTATCTTAGCTTTCCACGACAGTATATTTTGGTCCACATACTAATAGCTACAACATGGGAGATAATTTAGGGAGACGTACGACAATCATTGAAGTGTCTACAAACTGATGATAACGCAGCTCAAGCTTCCTCTCTACCTTACTAATAATAAAAAGGCCCTGTATTGTTCACATCGTGTGTATGAAACAAGAACAGCACAGCTTTCATGCACGTTGACATCTTGGGGCTTCGTCATCTTCAGAGCTACCTTTGATGTAACTAACAATTCAACATGTATACGAAATTTAATGCACATTGTTCCAAATGTATTTGCCAGCAAATAATCACTACCATCGTGCCGCACATGGGTTAATGTCCATCCCCTGAGTCAAGATAATAATTATGAGCCATACCAGCGAGCATTCGTACCTGCGAAATCTTTATTGTACACGCTTGAATAAGGCTTGCCATGGGTCTCTGGTGGCTGTTTTAGCAAAGTAGAAAGTGTATCAGAGACACCACCAAAAAAACCATTGCTCTTTTCTTTGAGTCCAGATCTTCGAGTTCCAATATACTGCATTCTTTGACGCCGCAAAAGCGGAATAGCTTTCTCAAATTCTCCTTATAGAAATGCCCAATCCTGATTGGTGACTCGGAAATATATCCGGATCAGGTGAGCTTCAATGAGCTGTCCGAATGGGGCCCGATTCTCCAAGGTTGAGCGCACTATTTAATCATGAATTTCCCGAAAACGTTCAAACAACTAACTCAAACTTTCAGTTTTTAAAGAAACTGTTTCCTAAGGCTGACTTGATTTGCCCGAAAGAATACCCATAATCCACGCCCATTGTCAGTTATCTCCCTTGCGAATTTGAGGCTGCGCACTTACAAGACCGATCACACACCAAACTGAGTCTGACAAAGGAGAAAAAAGTCATGCCCAAAGATGATAGCAAGGCATTGTGCTTCGCAGATCCTTTTGCCATGTTGGTGCTATCATTGCAGCATCTTGATGAACACACGAATATCATACATTTGACAGGAAATGGTTATGAGCCGCGGTGCGTGGAGCATCAGCTGCGCGCATCACAAGAGCATCGTGGTGATAAAGCTCATCTTAGAGCTATCAACGGTGTCACCCACGCATAACGATTGAGCGAAAACCAGAGAAATCAGGTCTGCAATCTTTTAGTGCATCTGAAATTACATACACGAGGCATCTGCTTGCAGAGGAAAGCGAGGGCCGTGCAAAGCTCCCTGTATATTCGTAGTATTTCCACCACTCAGACTCCGACAACCAATTCATATTTGCGATGGACTACTCAGACAGGGTCAATTCGAAAAAAGGGGCCGGTGCCCTTGCTGATAAACACGAAAGCAATGTGCACACTAAACGGCGCATCAAGGAGCTTCTCACCACACAAGTCCTTGATTTGGACCGAGACCCCTATGTTTTCCGGAACCATTTGGGTGTTCTTGAATGTCGGCTCTGCCTCACTACTCACACCAACGAAGCATCATACATCTCGCATCTTGGCGGGAAAAAGCACGGGCTTAACTTGGAGAGACGGCGGATCTTGGATGAGAAATACAACAAGGCGCCTGGGCAAAACACGGGCGTGTCGATGACTAATGTAGAGAAACGGCACTGGAAACCAATCGGGCGGCCCAGCGTCAAAGTCACGAAAATCAGGCTACCTAAGCTGCTCCGGATGGGTATGCTCGTGCAGGCGCAGTTTCCACAGATCTCCGTGAAAGAACCGTTCTTCCGCTTCATGTCTTACTTCGAAATGTCGCAGAAAAACCAAGGCGCCAGCAAGGACTTTCTCTCAAAGGAAAAGACGGATTACGAAGAGGACGAGGACGTGGATCCCAGCAAGTGGCAGTACTTGGTCCTTTCTGCAGAGCCCTATGAGAATGTAGCCATATCTTTCCCCGGGGCAAAACAGGTCGACACTCCGCCTGGCGATGAAATGTCGCAGAACTACTGGTGGCACTGGGACCCCGACTCAAGGGAGTTTTTTCTTCAGGTCTTGTTTAAGGACGAGAAGTTGGATTCGAGATAGAGAGTGCCGTCTGTGGCGATGATCTTAAGAAGTTTTTAAGGTTCAATTTGGGGGCTTTCATGGACTAATAGTAGCATGCTGGCTCGAAGTTGAGGGCAATGCCACCGCTCTTTTGAATCCATAGATGAGGGCAGTTATTTATCTTCAAGAAGAGTATGGCGTCGCAAACATAGGGTGGAACCATTATTCATGTGTGCCTCTGGAGAAAGTCCTCTATTCGACAAATATAGCGAAAGGTCGCATCATGCGGATATGTGAAGACAATCCCGGCTGACCGAACAAATAAGGGTAATCTGGGCTTTTGGGGACTACTCCAACGTGTGGGAATACGATGGCAAATGGCGGGTATGCAAGACAGCTATATCAGGGCCCCAGCCACGGACCTGGTGCTATTTCAGCCTAGCCTCGAAGGACAATACTCCAGCCGACTGGAGATATGCAAAAAGGGCAAAAACATGCACGTTTTTAGCTACGTTTCCCCAAAGACTTACCCTGTGATTCATCAGCCAGAATACGGTGCCCTGATACCAAAATAACATAAGTGAAGCCCGAGCACATCGTCATCTTGCAGATCGTTCGACACGGCTTCGGCAGAAGCCTCAAAACTGTTTTCACTGTCTTCGCGTTTCTTGTAGTATCTGTGCCTTTCAGTCATCGAATGGTCCTACTTACTCTCTGGGCGTGTTTGACCAAGTCAATGTTCCGGCACCAGTTGGCATGTCTGATTTCAAACAAGAATGATACACCAAACACACCAAAAACCGAGTCTTGGAACTACACAAAAAACAAAGGCTCAAAGCGCAATGGCAGAGATGGTGTTTTGCGTCCTATGCTGGGCTCTGGCACTGGGTTGGATTTGGGTGGCCGTGCCTCCCACTCTGGGAGCTCATTCGGGGAAAAACCGGATATATCTAAACGGTTTCGTTAGTCCTCATGGCGATTCTTCAAAACCCCTGTGTAAATACTGTCTAATTCCCATTTACGCACTTCCAAGACGACGTATATTGATCAATTTGTAATACAACCACATTGGCAGACGCGGGTCCTCGGGTTCAATATCATGTATGCGCACAGCGACGTTTAAAACAAAAGGGATTCAAAATCACTATCAATGCCAGCAGCTCTAACTACCACCGTTTTTTCGACTCAGTGCTCTCATATCTCATATCAGGATAAAGGCCAGTTTTATGGCACCCACGTGAACCTCAAACCATTTCGAGTCACTCAATTCACCAGATACAGGCTCATAGCTAGTGTCAAAAATCACAAAAAGGAAAAACCAAAGAAAACAAAGAAGACCTGGCATGCTCATGGTTTCCAAAAAGAGGCATCAAACAGTCCCATGGATATCAGATATACAGTGCTCAGTCCCTCTCTTGATGTCGCCGACTTGAATCACCTTTCAAATTGGTTTTCGAAAAACCCCCATAATATCACACAAGTCTCCGAAATACATCCACAAATAATTTGATATTCCTATGTTTCAATGATTTCGCCTTATATCAAAACGCCCTGGGTCCCAAAGCTCACCCAGCTTGCTCATCATTTGCACCCGCGCCAGAAGCCGAGTCGGCGTTCTGTATATAGTCGGTCACGTGAGATCGCGGCCGCGCCCCGGTCCGCCTCGGCCCACTAATCGGGCCACTCTTGCAAACCTCCACATTTCTTTCGGCCGTCAACACCCCCAAATCCATGACTCTGGACCCTGGCCCGCCGCCGATTCTCGAAAAATGCGCACAGGCACATCGCTTGGTGCAAGGGTTTTTGGCAGGCTCCTTGCCCCTGGCGCATCTCGCCTCGCTAGAGCCCCCATATATAGTGCGCCCCCCGCGTAGACAAGTGGTTCGAGAGAAGGTCAAAAAGTCCTTGGAGGTGCTTGAATCTGCACTTGAATCCCACAGGTATGTAAGCACGTGACGCGTGGTGGCCCTTTGCCGATTTTGTGCAAGAAAAAAAGAAAGCAACCGCCACCTTTGCCGTTTTGAAATACCCTAGCCGCCCAGGCCAGCGGAACCCCGCCTTATCCAGCCCACTAACACCCCTAGCCTCGAGGAAATTGCTGTCTCGTACAATGGCGGCAAAGACTGCCTCGTCATGCTCACTTTGCTCCTAGCTGCCATTCACCGGAAAGTCTCGCTGGGTGCTCGGATACCTGCCAACTATAAGCTAGATTCCATCTACGTGAATTCAGAAAAGCCGTTCCCGGAGCTCTCTCGCTTCATCGAGCTGCTGGCCAAAGAGTATCTGCTAAACCCGATCACCATCAGCAGCTCGATGAAACAGGGGTTTGAGCAGTATTTGACCCAGGTCAACTGCAATACAAAGGCCATTGTCGTGGGCATCCGGTACGCAGACCCGTACGGGGCGCTGCTCCAGTACGAGCAGGAGACAGACCACAACTGGCCCAAGTTTTTGCGCATCCACCCGATTTTGCACTGGCACTACTGCGACGTGTGGGACTTCATTTTGGCGTGCGGCGTGCCATACTGCGAGTTGTACGACCAGGGTTACACGTCTTTGGGCGGCGTGGACACCACGCTACCGAACATATTTTTACGCCTGGGCGACTCGTATTTGCCAGCGTACATGCTAGAAGATTTTGCCGATGAGAGAGAGCGTGTGGGACGCATGAAGTCTCGGTGAGATGTGGACCTCACTTCGCAAAAGATGGATGCCTTCTTTTCTGGATCCTGTTGATACGAACTCGACAATCAAAGCTGTGCGTTTCTTTCTGAGGGATATGTGACCTCACGGCTTTCAACTGTACCTAACGGGAAAATTCCCGCTGGACTTGGCAACTGAAAGATTCGAGAGGAATTTCTGGGACGAGCAAAAGTGTTGTTCTGGCAGCTTCATATCTAAGCCCCAGTGTGAACAGAGCGATTTTTGCAGCTAGGACCAGGCTGTGTTCGGCGCTCCCGACAGGCTGTGGGTCGGGCCCTGTGCTGTCAAACAGTGGCAATGAGGTTGCCTCGCTCTAAGAATCCTACCAGCGCCAGACATCCAAGAGACTTCATACAGAGCGTAAAAGACACTTGTAATAGAAAATAGAATGCGCCCAGGTGGCAGAAGAACACGCGGTAATCTGTGTGCTGTGATGTTTGGATCACACGAAGTAAGCTTACCTTTTCATCGTGAAAAGATGTCTGATCCCCCGGTCGAAAAAGCCGTACATTATAATCTGAAAATTTCCCCTTTGAACAGTATCTATTTTTCCTCCAGGAGTTCTCTGTATTGACAAATCGTGCGCATGTTCTGGGCGTGCTACCACATGAAGCTACCTGGGACCAAAACAGTGAGTTTGCCTGGTCCGCATTGGTTTATCTGAACGAGATATCATCCCTGACTCAAGATCTTTCGAATTCGCTTCTGTTCCGGAATCCGTGCTGCTGCCTCGGCACATGTTGATCAGACAAGCTCATCAGAAACGCGTTTTCGGGAACAGTCATGATCAGCTCTGGGTTGCAATGCCTGATCCATCAACATGTTTTGCTCGTTTGTATCATGTGAGTTTCGACCAAACTTTTCTCTTAAAACCTCATTGATGGTTAGGAGAAATAAAAGTCATATCCCACTCCACTGCGTGTCTCTCGTTGGGGTCTTCTTGTGTGGGCATGATATCCTTGTTCAAAACCCCGATGCTGTAGTGCCGAATGTGGGTGAACATATGAATAACTTTGCATTCAAAGAAGCATGTGATATCTCCTCAAGGCACCTGTAGATTTAGCAAAGACACTCTCAACTAGCTTCCATCCATCTCCAAATACAGAGTTCTTCTTGCTCATGGGTGAAAGTACCAAAATTGGGTACAATCCGTGCGCAAGCGATCAACTTAATCATCAGGAGACCGAATTTAACACCGTCGACAATACATGTGACCAAAAGCAGCACTGCAGGAGTCAGATGAGTTTGTGCTCAACACAAGACATAATTACCATTTGAACTGATCTGCTCACCAACACGACCCCGCGAAGACTGGCCCTGATCTGTCTCGACACAAGCACGTGGGCACCAAGCCTCCAAATCACGTGTCACTTTTGATACCGCCGTGCGACTCTAAAAGCACCGCACGGAAGTATGCGTCAGACTCCGGCCCAACACCAATCTCGCCAAGCGCCTGTTCAGCACTGGTGGGCCCGACAGCCATAGGCACATCTGAGGGGGGGTTCAGGCCACCGCTTCTCAGCAGGTGGAGCGACTGCATCCTCAAGCACAACTCGACCTCCTTGCGATTGTTTTCGTCGATGACGTTCTGAAGGAACTGGATGTACTCAACAGCCTGCGTGAGGATCTGGCCCTTGTTGGGCTTGCCGTCGCGCGTGCCGGTCGATTTCGCCAAGGCCAGCGCCTCATCAAACGGATGCCCGGGAGCCATCCCAGCATCCACACTGGTGTCCTGGAAATACGCACCAGGAATGAGCTCAAGGAGTTCTTGGATTTTGTCGTTGATGTTGTCACGGCGCTTGCGCTCGATTCCCTGCTCCTCGGCTTCGTTGCGGTCGTTTTCATTGCGCGTTTCGGCATCGCCGTCTTCAGTCTTGATGTGATATGCCGAGTCCCGCCGGGCACGTGGCTTGGTCACCCCTCCACTGCCACTCATAGGGGATGAGTGGCCATGGAAAGACTGCTGAAGCTGTTTCTTGATGTCGAGTGAACGAGCCAAAATCTCGCCCGCCGGGCTCCCGGGAGACACCGGCAGGCCGGCAATGTTGATGCTGGGTACTGTGGCATTTGTGGCGGGGGATTTCCTGGGGCCAAAGTCGGACGCCTTGGCCAGTGTTTGGTGCAGATCGCTCATGGTTTAAGGGTGAGGAAATGTGGGTGGTGACGGAATCAAGGAATGTTTCAGAAATCCCCTTTCCGCCTTTTTGATATTGCTTTCAGAAGTACTGTTTCTGGTGAGTAGGTGCAGAAACGTGGGGTATATAAGTAGTAAACATTAGTAGGCCAGATGTGAGTTGAGCGCTGGTTGCAGTTGTACACCCGTACACCATCATGTTAGCCGCCGGCACCCCTTGTCTAAATGAGGAAAGGGGTGTTTTGTGGCGGTAGCCTCAAACTCAGGATTGATGTCGGTTGCATTAAGACTGTATATCTTGTTCTCGGCAATTTCTGTTTGTGAGGGGCTTCTCGAAGATTGTTGTCGTGGGCCTCTTTCTGTACCGCTGGGTCAAATCTACACCGAATGGATCAGAACTCCCATCAGGTCATTATTCCGATAATTGCGAAGAACAATTAAGTAAAAACAGTCTTGAAAGCAGGCCTTATGGTGCCTGTCATTTGTAGCTCATTCTTCTACACTAGTATGTTTGGCAAAAGTAGTATAAAAGTGCATGAATGCGGAAGTGCCAGCCATGTCATGTGACCGGGGTAGTAGTGTTATTCTTTAAGCTCGGCAAGATCTAACTCGTACGAAATATTTTGGGGGTATGAGTTTTCCATTTTGTTAAGTTCAAGCTGGAAATGTAAAAAGTGTTTTAATAGGAGGTCAGCATAAATATTTGCAGTTTAAGATTTAAGGTATGTATGACTATACAATTGCAAAACAGCAAGAAAACCGAAACATGATATTATCTTCGGGTAAGCCTGAACCATCTTAAAGAAGATGACAAATATGTTGGCTTTGACTTTTGAAATTTCCCGATTCTCAAAAGCGCTTCCTTCCAAAACCAATTTTCTTTTATCAGCAACAAATTGACTCGTTTCTCAAAAGAATCAAAGCACCAAGGTGCCTCTTGGTTCATCCTCATCTATGGATCCAAGTGTTATTATTGAGACAAGACCAGTGTTGGCACCAGTGGCGTTTTTGGTAGAAAAAAATCATTATTTCTTTGAAAATAGAGATTAATATCATTATCATATAGCTGGATGCCTGGTCGACGTGTGACCTAGAGACATGCTCATTAAAAACCCTGGAGTAACGATAATTTTCGCGAAGAACCAATTTGATTCAAACGAGTCGTATTTAAGGGTGGATAAACGAAAGTTGGTCGAGAGCTTGTGTAAGTCAAATCTTTCCATTGACAAAAAGACAATGACTCCGGCGTGATTCGAACACGCGCATCTTACGATAACAGAACTTGAGTCTGCCGCCTTAGACCGCTCGGCCACAGAGCCTTTCTTGCATGTTACAAACTCTATGTAAACTATATGTAACTAAACCTTGTAAAGATCTCTTACTTGTGAGAGAGGCCACGGGATAATAGAGCTATCTAGGCGAGATAGGTTGCGTGACACGAGATATGCTGTTGGCTCGGAGAATAAAACCAAAACCAAAATATACAAGGAATGGAGGACGTAATATTCAATACGTAAACAGATACGTGCCATGAGGACCGTCCAGGCCGCGACTAACGGAAGGGGACGGGCCGAGCTAAGACACTTGGTACGTAGCTGGGAGCTGTTTAAAGTCTTTTCATATATATTATTTTTATAGTTTTGCCCCTTTAATCAGATGAATCTACCAAAAAAAGAAAACAAATACTGCATGTTTCCCTAGCCAGACAAAATAAATTAGGTATTAGATACATGTAGCTCTCATTTTCACGCTTTTCTATTAATGAGGAGTCGAATAGATCACATAGAAGGTAAAAGTGGTTGCAAAGGATAGATCGGAATAGACCGGCTGAATTCTGTTACCATTCATGTGTCTGTGAGCTGTTTAGAAAGGATTTTACACATTGTGTAGTTTTGCTCCCATTCTCAAATGAGTCAATCCAAAAAAAGGCATAGCTTCTTGCTTGACGAAAAAGATCAAATTCTTACCCCCTGCAAAAGGACTTTGACAAAAAACGAAATTGCAAGATTCTGGCCCTGGCCGACAACTCTTTGGAGAACTCAACAAAATTAAATTGGTTCGTCACCACGATCTTCAGGGTCACCAGAAGGCGTGGCAAGTCGCAGGAAGTGGGCTCCTTAAGTCCTATCCAACGATCTGCGTTGATACGACTATTACAGGAGACATATCCTAGGAATTGATGACGTTAAATTTTATTAAGGAAACAGATGCATACCAAGGGGCCCACCAGGCCACGATTAATGGAAGGACACAAAACGGCACAATGTATGTACGTAAAAGCTGTATAAGGGCTTGCATATATTGTCTTCTAAAAGCGTTTATGTTTTGAATAGGAATGGTTACCTCAATCAATTGTGGCCGGGAATGGGCTCTACTGGATAATATTGCAAGAGGGCCATGATAATAAATATCAACACATATAACCAAGGCTTAATTACGCATCCTTTGTCAAAATCCGGCCTATGAGTCTGATCATCACAGTTCGGGCAGTCTGTCTAGACACACAAAAGCCAAATAGATCTAAGTCAGAACAAGTCTCCAGCATGGTCATTTTACACCAGAGGCTAATGTAGCTACAGGCTAACAGAAATACTTAGTGGCGCCCGATAACAATTTGATCAATGTATGTTAGAGTCATCTGAACAGAAGGATATACTCTCATATTGCTTTCAAAACCGCACGCAGTGTCAACATATTCTAGAATCTAAGAAGTTGAAAAAAGAGGCCCTCGTATGATGATACCAAAAGCATGCTTACATTCTTCACCGTTTGCTGTGCAGCTCTATTTCCCCCTCCTGGACAATTCGGCCGAAAAGATCAAAAAACAATTTCAACAGGGTATATATTTCAACAAGTTTGAAGGTGTGTCACTAGTTGGACGACGACCATGGTGTCAAAAACCAAAAGTCTTCGTGATGCCGTTGCAAGCCAACCAACAAATATTCTACTGACGTCCTCTTTTACAGGCCATCAAGTGAGGAGAGCATGGACCCCTCCAGCTACATCAACACGTCAGGCCACCACAGCGAAAAATCATTTTAAAGAATCTTCATTTCTGGATATTTTCTTCTGATTCTTATAGTCTCTGAATAACTGCTCATCTTTTTGGCGGCTACATTTTTCACTGGCACTGGTATATGGCTTTACGAGTTCAAAAAAGGCTATCTTGAAAATGTTTTGGCGCTTTTTGATTTGAGAACTAGATCAAGGTAAATGGTTGTGACCACTCGAGAAGTAACTGTATCCCAAGACATATTAGATATCTTGCGGCTTTTCCGGGTTGACCATCGCGAGAAATCATTTTCGGACACGGTTTATCGCTCTTTGGATCGTTTGGACTTGTTGCTTCATCCATTTCTTGCGGGAGTAAGTATCTTGTGACGCGTAGCTGGGTTCTTTGGTAAGAGGGGTTTTGTGGACCACACCACGGCATTTACTCCTGAAAAGCGTCTTCCCTCTTATTGACCCGGTCGAAGTCGCTTCAACGGGGCAGAAGAAGTATCAAGGTCCTGGATTTCTGTGACTCGCGGCGTCTTTGAGTGGACTAAGATCTGTGTAGTACCTAGAAGCACACAACGCCTTGACAACAGCGTTTCCCCCAATTTCCGTGGTCATGTTCATTTTACATGGGTTGAATATTGGGTTGTTGTTTTTCTTCCGGTAGCAGCCCCACCACCACAAACACTGTTCGTCCGATCAACGATCGTGCCGCTCGCCAGGGCCACGCTGGGTAGTGGGAGACCATAGGTGAATCTCGGTGCCGCAATCTCTTTTTTGACTTGCCGGGATTTGTGCCCACGGCCGACAGCCCCCACTCATAGCTCCACGTCGCAGAGGCGCCAGAATTGCCAGGCGTATGCAAGCAGCAAGGAACTACCAAATACACGCCAGCTGGTTCAATGCGCCATTCGCAGCTTCACTAGATTGTTTATACTTAGACACGCAAGGCCTGATCCTCGAGACAAGCATATGACTAGCCGATGACTGCTGGCAGGACCAAGCAGATAGCTACAGAACTGAGGTCGTTGGGTTGGAGCCGAAACAGTCCCGGCCCCAGGTTTCTCTTCGTGGTCTGATGGGTCCCATGGTGTGATACCGGTCAGGGCAGCTGGCGGGGGCCCGAGGTGCCCCGTTGATTCGGAGAGGGCTTTGCTGGAAGGGAACGTCCGCCTGCCCCGCCCCAAACATGGTCTACAGACCAGCTCCAGGCATCAGCAGAGGATTCTTCCTGGCCTCGGCCGTATATACAAGTCTGCCAGCCAAGCCTCGCGGGCGCGGATCAGGCGGGCCCCAGGGCGTGCCTGCTGCAGCGGGCGCTGCGGTCGGCCGTGGCCAACAACCGCTCTCTCTCCAACAGCTTGCCCAACACCTGGAGCTTTGCCGCAAGGTTGCGCACGCGCTTGTCGTCCTCGTGGGCCCAGACCGGCAAGCCGCCCGGGCTGAAGCTGGAGCGGCCCGCCTTCATGGCGTGGTACGCGGCCAAGATCTTCAGCAACACGACAAACGTCTGCCCGTCGCCCGCAAAGCCGTTGTTCTGCATCTCCACCACAAGAAGCTCGATCTCGCACAACGAGCGCTTGCCGAAGAACACCCAGTGCACCTTGAGCATCTCGTTGTACGTGGCCTGGTTGCACACCACGGAGTACAAGCGCAAGTCCGTCTTGACCCGGTTGAACAAGCTGAGCGCCAACGCGCCGTCGTGCAACCGCGCCGCCACCGCCCGGAGCACGTGGTTGAAGAGCACGGGCACCGTGAACGCGTTGAGCACCGGCGCGCCCGGCGACGCCTCGCTCTGCGCCCGCACCTGCCGGCTCAACCTCGCGTGCCGCGTGAGGAACGCCTTGGACGTCTCGCCCTTGGCCTTGTGGAGGTGGAAGTCGCGGCGCTGCGCCACGCCCGCCACGCAGCCCTCCAACACGCGCCGCGTGAAGCCCACCACGGCCTCGCGCGTCGTCATCTGGTCGATGTACTCGAGCGTGGGCGCAAGCGCCTCCACGGTCTTGCGCTCCGCCACGCCCTGCTCCCTGCCCGAGAGCCGCTCGGTGGCCAGCGCCACGGGCACGTGGTCCGCCGCAGCCGCCGGCGCCCGGACCGAGTCCTGGAGGTTGGCAAGCACCCGTCTCTGCACGATGTCGGCCGCCGTGCTGGAGGCCTCGCTTTGCGCGTACGTGGCGAAGATTTTCTCGAACAAGTCCTTTTCGTCAGCCACCACGCGGCCGTCCGGCCGGCCCGGCGGCGCGTCCCCCGTGGCGCCCGGCGCGTGGCGCCCGAGAACAGGCGCGTCGCTGTCCAGCAAAAACCGGTCCGGCGCGCGTGCGCCCGTGTCGGGGGCAAAAAGATCGCCGAAGAACGCGTCCACATCCTGCGCGTCCTGCGCCTCCTGTTTGTGCCCGGCGGGGTCGTCGAACACAAAGTCCGCGAGAATATCGTGGAGCTGGGCCTGGTCCGGGCCCTCCGGGGGGCTCTGCTGGGGCGCCCGGGCCTCAAAATCCGCCGTTTTTTCGGCGCCGGGCTCGGCCGAGACGCCCGCGGCAGCGCTGCCGGCATCATCCGGCCCGGCGGGTGGGGCGGCGGCCTCGAGCTCCAAATCTAGCGTGAAGAGCTCGGGGTTGGACGACGAAAACCGGGGTTTTCCGGCGCATGCCCACGCACGGCGCGCCGCGGGCACCGCGCGGGCGGCCCGCTGCCCGAGGAGACGCGAATACGCTATTTTAGCACTCAACATGGGCCAAATCAGGGGTGTGTTCGGGGGGTTCGAGGGGGGGTATGGATATACGGGTGGTTTTGGGGACGGGTCTTTGAGGTTGAGGTGGTGCACGCAGCGCCGCGCGCATCGCAGCGAGGTGCGGGTGTTCCAATAGTTCTAGTATCAGATTTCTCGGTTCAAGTATGTACGGTCCTTAGGATCTTTGGGATACTACTATTCTCTAAAAACCCTTGAGGAAGAAAGGAAAGAGAAAAAAATTTCCCTGTACGGAAGTTTTTTCCTTTTGCCACGTGAGGGATGCCTACATGGCGGATACCACGTGACAAATAGTTCTAGGATCAGATTTCTCGGTTCAAGTATGTGCGGTCCTTAGGATCTTTGGGATACGACTATTCTCTGAAAAGCCTTCCGGAAAAAAGAGAAGGAAAAAGGCTTCGGGGAGGAAGTTTTTTGTTTTGCCACGTGAGGGATGGCTACATGGCGAATACCACGTGACAGGGCTTTCCAATGAGATATGGTTCCATCAGCTCTTTTTGGATCCGAAGTGTTTTATGTGTATCATATTAGAGTTCACAGATTATATGTATCATTTTAGATTTCAGGGATCGGTTCGTTTGATTAACAAGAGAGCTCATTGAACAGTTGACTCATACCGAGCAGCCAGTCAATCTCACTGCACTCTATTCACCGCACTCTGTTCACCGCACTCTGTTCACTGCACTCTGTTCACTGCACTCTGTTCACCGCACTATGTTCACTGCACTATATCCACCGCACTATAGTTTCCTATACTTCACCATTATATATCACTAATTTTTTCACTACATTATATCCCACTGCCTATATCCGACTATACCCCACCACACCATATTCCACGATCTTCACTGCACCATGTTCACTGAACCATCTTCAGTACACCACACCACACCATATTTCACTGAGATATTTCACTGCACTCTATTCACTGCACTATATCCACTGCACTATATCCACTGCACTATGTTCACCGCACTATGTTCACTGCACTATAGCTCCCTATATTTCACTACATTATATGTCACTAAACTTCATTTCACTGCGCTATAGTTCACTATCTCCACTGAACTATATGTCACTGCACTTTACTTAACTATATTTCACTACACTATGTTTCACTATCTCCACTGAACTATATTTCACTGCACTATGTTTCACTTTATCTCACTACATTGTATCTCACTACACTACACCACACCATATTCCACTAGACTATATTTCACTACACTATAGTCCCTGCACTATATTTCACTATATTTAACTGAATTACACTCTTTACTAGACTATATTTTACTAGACTGTATTTTACTAGACTATATTCCACTACACTATATTTCACTGCAATATCTTCACTGCGCTATTTTTCACTAAATTTCACTACACTATATTCACTGCACTATAATTCACCATGTCTCACTACATTATATTTCACTACACTACACTACACTACACTACACTACACCGTATCTCACTGAACTCTATTTCGCTGCACTCTACATCACTAATTTCCCTGTCTTTACTGCACTATAGTCCCTGCACTATACTTCACTATATTTCACTACATCATATCTCACTACTCTACCCCACACCATATTCCCTGCACTATATTTCACTATATCCCACTAAAATAAATTTCACTATACTTTACTACAATACATCACTGCACTATATCTCACCGCACTCTATTCACCGCACTACAGTTCCCCATAGCTCACCATCATACATCACTCACTGTATTTCACCACATTTTATCCCACTGCCTTTATCCCACTTCCTATATCCAACTGCCTATATCCCACTAATCAGCCCCTCCCCCCATATCATACTCCACAATCTTTACTGCACGACTTCTACACTACATCCACCGCCCCGGTCGTGCGCCGTCCATCTCAAGATACCACTTCAGACTCCTTCGCCCAAGAAGATGAGGAATGCATTTTATTTGTGGGATACTTCTTTTTCAGAAGAATAATTTATAATATCAGATTTCCCAGTTCAAGTATCTGTGTTGGGAGCAATAGATTACTCCATTCTTCAAAAATTTTTAGGGAAAATGGAAAATCCTTTGGGGGGAAAAAGACAAACCTCCGCTTGGGGACAGTTTTTCCTTGCCACGCGAGAGGCGGCTGCGTGGCGGATATCGCGTGACAGGTTCTTTCAGTACCAGTTTTCTCAATTCAAGCATCGGTGCTGGTAAGGGGGGGTACAATCAGGTAACGTATCAAATATGACCCATATATAAAGTAAAAACTTCTACCCAATGGTTCCCAATGTAAACAAAGCGAAGGATTAAGAAAGAGAAAGATGAAGTACAAATACTTGACTTCACTATAAATGACCTAAGATAGGTAAGACTTAAATTATGATGTATTTTATTTATATCTGGATCTGAATGTTACAAGAATAAAATATGTAAAATATATGAATACAAGTTATATATATAATAAACAAAGCTATTATGACATACCGGACAAGCATTAAAATATAAGCACCACTCTTCGTGTGATAGGGTGCCCATTAATAGAAATATTTATGCATTATATCCTATCTTATATTATCTGATCTTATCCTATCTACTTTGATTTGAACGTAATTAAGTAAATATAGCATGGTTATTTCTTCAATGATTAAATATTGATTTATATCTAATGGACTTGTATATATATTAATGAAAGGGTTATAAGACAACTTATAACTTCCAAATATATGGATAAATGTACTCTAATTTATGATGTATAATATGTATAAAGGCCAAACATGTCATGACCTAGATACCCAAAGTTTAAATAAACACAATCTCTATATATAGAGCATCACATAATAATAATGTTCGTATATCATTTAATTAAAACACATAACAAATTCATCACTACATACTATAAGTTTATTGGATATTGAAACTTGTATTATAAATCATAATGGGCATATTACTGAACCTATCATTTTGTTTTTGGTAGATTCATCTGATTAAAGGGGCAAAATTATATAAATAATATATATACAAAACCTTTGAACAGCTCCCAGCTACGTACCAAGTGTCTTAGCTCGGCCCGTCCCCTTCTGTTAGTCACGGCCTGGACGGTCCTTATGGCCCGTATCTTTTTACGTGTTGGATATTTCGTCATAGACACCTGGGATAGGTCTCCTGTAGTGGTTGCTTCAACTCAGATAGTTGTAGCGGACTTGAGGATAATTTTCAATGATACTTTGAGTAAAAAGAAATACCTTATGTGATTATATTTATAAGCAGATACATTATTATTACTAGCAACTCTTTTCATACATATTTATCTTTTAATTCCCCGCTTTGTTCTTAATATATTATTTCTCCTTTATTCAAATCAAATACTTTTAATTTCTTTTATTTCATTTTAGTTTATTTCATTTCATCTTATATTTCCTTATACACCTCTTTATACGAATGCCTTTAGGGGAATTATAATCTATATTTCTTCTCCTTTTTTTTCATAAATTATTTCAATCTCGTACTTCTATTATTAAATCTAAATACTGAGGCTAGATATATATTCTATTACAATCTAGTTAAAATCATATCATAAAATAATGATGCCTTAGTATCATTAAAAAAGCAAACTGGGAGCCCTAGAGTACTCTTTTTTCTAAAATCCTGAAGGAAAGATGTGTCATGCTTAAACCTTCTATACTATTGAAACTTAATAGTGTATTCTCTAACCAAGAACCTTTCTTAAAAGAACTATCTTACTTAACACTTGAAAAGGTGATACCAGGTCACAATTAATTTGTAAATATTAATACTCATGTCCTGCAATGGGTAATTGCTAGACTTTGTTGTTTTAAACATTCATATTGATAAAGAAGATTAATCAATGATACATTCCTAAATCCTATAGACTCAGTTCCTTACGCATCGACTTTTAAACCTAAAAATTCTAAACTTATTAATAGCCTCATTAATAAATATGCTAAGGAAGATGATCAAAAAATTAGAAATCGATCATAGCTTACCTCACATATTAGGTAAATTTGATGATAGAATATCTATAAAATTGGATTATAACTCTCTAAAGCTATATCAGTAGTAGTTGTCATAAAATAAAAACTGCTCTTAAAGGAAAATTTTATTAGAATCTTTACAAATGAAAACAGTCATATAAAAAATTTGCGAAGATAATATCCCAGATCCTAAATTATATAACTCATGACTTTTTTCAATTTAATTAGCGATAAATCCCTACTTAACATTTATTCTAGTAATTTAAAAAATGTCTATGACAAGAAAACTGCCAATGAAGCTAAAAAACTATTAACAAGTATTAGCAAAGTTAAATACTGTCTTGATATTTGTACTTATAATATATATCAACCCTTAGGGGATTTTAGTTAGACAAATACGCTGATAGCTAGTATTAGGTGCTTAACTAACATCCTATCTATTGATCTCTTTAAAGGTGAGAGATCTATAGGTTAATTCATACCAGGTTATTTGATTGACTCATTGAAGACTATATAAATCCTCTCAATATAATATATCAAGTAAACTATCAGATATGACATAAACCATTATTCAATTTGCTATATATACATTAGAATTGCTTCAGGAGCGTAGTGCTATGTAAGTAGCATGCTACGATCTGTGCCGGGAACATTTATTTTGATTCTTAGATCAAAGATGGCCGTTACAAACTATATGCGAGAACTTTACAATATACTTTCCCCTCCGGGTAGCATTAGAGTTTTATAGTACTTTAGGTACAAGTCGTATATCTAACGCCTTTTAAGTAAAAATCTATCCTTATAAAGAAGGTATAACCTACAACTATATAGATGTTAGATATAAAAGATGTAGTATAAATTGCATAACACAAAAGTAGGAACTTCAGAGACTATACGTTTGGAAAACATTAATAGTAGCAAAAGTATTCAACAAGCTCACCCGGTACATCAACAACAGGGGGTGTATCTGTAAACTCAAGATAGATAGATCCGTAAGTATTAATAATATACAATGATTAAGTGAATTAATAAATGGTCATTTTTAGTTTCAAAAGAAGGATATGCTTCATTAAAACTAACTCTGAATATAAGAAATAAAAAAGCTTCAAGATTTATACAAAATTTTTGTGAAGGTTCTGTTAAGCTTATAAACACTTCTATAATATATAAATTACATAATAGAATATGTTTAGCTTCAGTGATTAAAAATGTTAATGGAGAAATTAGAAATCGTATAAGATTAATTCAGTTAACTAAATGATGTAATATGTACAATATAATTGTTAAACAACCTAAGCCATTAACTAAGGACAGTTCATTATCAAGTTGTTTTTAAAGCTGTTGGAGCTAGAACTATTAATGGTACCAATAATCAATTGGCTCTTTCTGTTACTCAAAGAGTCCAGAATTACTCTATGATATACTAAAACGATTACTGGAAATGTTTAGTTAAATGACGGTATATATAAATCCTATAAATGATATGTTTCTAGTAGAAGGAAAGAAACAGGAAATAACCCTTGGAGAAAAAAAAAGACTTCTCTTGAGGAACAGCTTTTCCTTGCCACGCGAGAGGCGACTACGTGGCGGATATCGCGTGACATGTTCGAACTGTGGCTTGAGTACAGCATATTCCCAATCCATAGCCTGTCCATGCTGGGAAAGCATGGACAGTTGGGTCATCGGATTCCTGACAACGCACCAGGATGGAAAGAAACCTATATTCAGGATTTGGCATGACCAGCTTAGCCGAGACTGGCCTTCTAAATGGTCCAATGAGAAGGCTACTTCCTCATGCTCATCGCGCCTTGGTCCGGGACCGAGTCTAAAAACCGGCGTACTTCTGATCACACTAACAGGTGGATTCCTCCAAAAATGGACCTGCATTCCACGGAGCTCAACAAGCTTAAAGTGTATTGGCTGCGAGAGCTTTAGTCCACATATCCGTGTTGTTTTCTTTGTAGGACCAGTCCACCTGGACCTGTTTTCGAAAACCCATTGCTGTAGATACCCGGCCCGACTTCTTCATGTCTAACTTCTTCATGAAACCAACAGTATTTCTTTGTCGACATCGTTCCGGCGTGATCACACCATAATTGTGTGTTGATACACTTCAAGCTCCTTAAAAGTCCTCTTATCCAGATAGCCTCTCTGGTTCCTTCATACAAAGCTCCAAGCTCTGCAGTCAACGTAGATGTTGCAATCGTACTTGTTAGGGGCTTCACGAGACAGGGGTTACGTATCTTTATTTGATTCCTGGTTTCCCTATAACTCTACAGAAATTCCCCGCCTTCATTGCTTCATCCAGAGGCCACGTGAAAGGAACCCTGAGAACTCGAGAGAATAATCTATGAGTTGTTTAGAATGAGATCTGACGGATCTTACATTAATCAAAGTACATATAGTCGCATATGCGCTTACGGAGACCATCAGGATCAAGATAATACAGGGACCTTACAGTACTCCGTATTTTGAATATACAAGTCACCAAACTTCATACTTAATTCCGCTCTTGATTTTTCATTTTTCCACAGAGCATTGTCTGCGTCTGTACACCCAGTAATATCTTGAGCATCATCTGTGCACTCTATACTGTAGTTTGACTGAGGTAACGTAACACTTTAAAAGCCGCTCCCAAGTGTACCACGGATGGATCCACTAAGAACCTTGAAAGAAGCAGTGACATGTACAAAATATCAAGCCGGGCCACTCCTGCGCATAGAAAAACTTCACCCACCATAATTCTATAAAGGGTTGCATCACATCTCTTCTTTTATCAACCAGAGGTACCAACTAGTCCAGCGAACTAATTGGAGCCTTCCTTTGTCTTCCTGACACATCAAAGATCCCTAAAATTTTCTCGACATGGCCTTCAAGACTAATTTCGATACAACCTTGACATACCCTCAAGTTCATGAACCTGATAGCTTTTGAATAGTAATGTCCTTACCTTCTCTAATTCCTTCTCATTTGGTTTAATTTAGCGTATCAACCACATAGAGTGCTAGCATGACTAAAAGGCCTTTCTTTACTTATGAATCAAACAAAATTCAGCTTCACTCTGAACAAAACCAAATTGCAAAACCACTAACCTCATTGTTTCGTGCCAAACTCTCAGTGATCGTTTCAATTCATAATTTGACCAATTCAATTTCTACATCATATTCTCTTTCTCATCGACAACAAACCCTTGTGGTTTTTGCATGTAGATCTCTTCCTTCAATAGCCATTCATAAAGGCTGTGGACACATCAAATTGCCTAAACAACATATCCTTCTTCGCAGCAACTGCTAATAAAAGTCGCAAACTAGTATAGGGGATAACTGGAGATAACGATATACAATAATCAACAACTTCAATCTCATGTTTTTCTAAAGCCACAAGTTATGCTATATACGTACCACTGTCTTTGAGTGCAAATACGCAAATACAACCAATCGCTTTCTTCCCTTTCAATAGATTCACCAACTCGCCAAAAGTATCCATTTTTCCATGTGCATTGATTTCACAGTGCACTTCACCACTTCGATGGCAGTTCTAATGCCTGCGTGTACAATATCGGGACTATCTCGCCCTCGGACTTCGCTAAGCTGTAAAGAATTGGAAACCAATCGATCTCCTCGTCTTTGATATCAACCTTCCACCGTGTAACTCGTGGATCTGATTCTTAACCCTTTCCCGGTTCTCTGTCTGCTGTCATAGCTTCATAATATTTTCTCTCTTTAGAATTAGTCAGATATATCCCCCCTTAAGCGGAAATACGTTGAAAGAACTCAATCTGTTAAAGCCTCGCATATCTATATCCTGCACTTGAGCAAAGGTTCAAATAGGTTATGAGCCCTGGTTCTCCCCCTTGCGACCCAATAAACGGCTGCGAAAAATATGTGACTCTGGCTGCACTGAACTACCGAGGGCGACAGGCGGTGTGTGCCTTAAAGGGAACGTGCTTTGGGAACAGGGGCGTTGGTTCTGTCTTTTTCTCTGCTCTTTGGGGGGCTTGGGGTTGTTCTTCTGGCTCTGAGGTTTTGGTTGTGTTGTTTGGGGTTGGGGTTTTGGGTTTTTCGGGTTGTTTTTTGATTCTGTTCATTAGAGTTCCCTCTTTGGTTCTGTTGCTAGGGGCTGGAAGACGCCTACTTTCTTAGTTTAAACTTGTCCCAGAAAAAATTCACTACAGACATGGTACAGTCACTTTTACCTGCAGGTCATGTAGCTAAACAAAAGTCATTAGTGTCATGACTCAATATGCGCTGGTGCCGATTAAAGTTCGAGAAAAACGGTTTATTTAGTCCAAAATAGTTCTCCTTGAAAGGACCGGATCAGGGTGAAGTACTTTAAAACTCTTACACGAAAAGCCAACTCAAGCTATTCTCTAGGAGGTGGGAGCCCAATTGGTGAACCCTTAAAGATTGATCCGCTAGTATCCTGACTTTTTTTTATTTATGACTGCAGATCCAAGACCCAATTCAGAATTAACGAATATCTAGGGGAAACGGCAAGTTGAGATTCCACAAACACGTCATATTCTCAGAGTATCTTATGTCTTGTATTGTCTTGTATAACTGTAAAACACTGTAATAGCTCAATCCCCTTTGTTCTCTCTGATCATTGAAATGGAAAAGTACAATTAAGCTTTGTGTCGCTTTTTTCTGCGTACTTTGACTAAGTTTTTTTGTTGCGGAATTGATCTCTTTACTGATTTATATCCGTATGAAAATACCCCTCTTATTTGCTGATTAAAATGAGTTTGAAATGTGGGATTTTTATCTTTCATTTTTGTGAGACATCTGGTGGAAAAATGAATTCAAAAGCATTGCTTTGAAAACGATGCTGTAATCATTCATCTGATAAAAAAAACAAAACTATAAAGTTCTTCAAAAAAATTTCTGAGCAATTTTAAAAACGTAAGAAGTGTCAAAACAGGACCTATTTCCATACGTAAAGTACGGCTTGGATGGTTCTCTCACTCGCATCTGTTTACATATTGGATATAACGCTATCGACCCCTAGGATAAGTCTCATGTAGTCGCTTCAACTCAAAAGGTTGGAGAAGACTCACTTTTGAGTTCCGCTTACATTTTCGAAAAGAAACATCATATTATATGATGTCATTAGAGAGATGTAAGACAGCACCATTAATGGAAAGCTTCAAAAAACCTATGATTGATCGCGAAATTGGCTCAGGTGCAAGCATCAACTCTGGGGTTGTTCGCCTGGTTCTGCTCTTTTGAAACAGTTTTCTTATCATTGTTTTTGTACGAGCGTTTCTGAAAATTATTACTTGTTTTTCTGCTTGTTGTTCCTTGCGCTCCTCATATTATAAATCTTGAGCCGCCTGAAAAAAAAAACCTGACCAGGAAATCTTCATGCAAACAGACCAGATCACATTTTGATGGGATATTGTCCATAAGAATCAGAAGCGAAAATGAAGGGCAGTTCTAAATTTGGGCTCTTTTTGATTGTTTTGCTTGGTGTACATTCCAACCATCTCAATGCTGTGTTTTAATTAAACATTCAGGTTCCCCTTGTCCGCACCAGTTCTGAGATGGTTTCAAGTAAAGAAAAAAGTGGTGGGGGTAGGTGGAAAAAGACCGAAACGGACTTTAGGTCCTTCCCAAAAACAAGTCCCAAAATCCAAATCACTTCAACCCACACTTAGCCTCACACTCTAAATTCTCCAACTCTTCGAGCCAATCCTGATTCCGAAGTTTCGGATCTATTTTGCCGATTGCATTATTCTATAAAATAGAAGCCGTTGGTTTTGTATACTTGTTGCGGATACAGTACGACTTGGCATGGAAGTAATATTTTCCAGTGAGTTCATCCCAAATTTTAAAATTCTGATATCGCCCCTTCTAGTCTTGTTTATGGTATGTATCACCAATGTTTATACTTATTCGATCCCAGGCCGACGTCTTCTCATTCGGTTACGTTATCGTGAAACTCCATATGCAAGTTCTGGAATATTAATCTGATTTCCTTTCCCTTGACCTTCTACCAAAAGAGGAGTTAGATCAGGTCTAGCCTAGAGATTGGGTTCTGCTGCTGACACAGAACCTTTCTCCACTTAAGTCTTCAAAGTTATCATTTGAAAACTTGCTACTACCACCAAAATCTGCACTAGACGAAGCTTGACCCAGATTCTAAGGCTTCGTCGCTACATCCGCGCCTGCCTTCTCTAAACAACACAAAATTGTTTGGGCAAAGTATAAGTAACATTTCTTAAGCGCCATCCATTTTCAGATCTAGCTCATTCGGCTTGTGAATTGATACACACTCATTAGCTGTTTCCGACTTCTATGGGCGCCGTCAGGCTGTCCAGATAACCTAACACCTTTTATAGTGTCTGATAAGTGTGTATTCTGGCATTTTAACTACACGTCAGGTTCATCCCGCATCTTTAGTTCTGCTTGCCAAAAAGACCCACTAAACGCTCTACATTTTTGCCTACAACTAAATAAGTGAGGCTTCTCACATGTTTAAAGCTCGAGAATACGCTTAGGCTATTTTGCTCCATGGCATTCAATCAGTCGCTTTACCTCACAAAACTGTTTGTAACGAGCTTTTGCTATCTTGAGGGAACTTTCGGCCGGAGCCAGCTACTAGAAGGTTCGATTAGTCTTTCGCCCCAAAACTCAGAATCGTTGATCGGTTTTGACGTCAGAACCGCTACACGCCTCCACCTGGGTTTTCTCTGGCCTGATGCTAAAACTTTTCAGTGATGATAAAAGACCGTGATTGGTTTTGAAGACATGATTGCCTTTGATAGATAAGCGGGACAGCCCCAAAATTTCATCAAGCACCAGCATACTTCAAGATGGTCATTGAAGTTTGTAAAAATCAAACACAAGAGTACATTGGGAAGCAGAATTGATACAGAGTCAGTGCCCCAGATTGACTCCAATGTGTACTCTCAAGCAGTCAAAAGTAGATTCCATTTTCCTTTGGATTCATGGCTTTTTTGACCCAAGTAAAATTCAATAGCAGCGACTTCACCTGCAAACAGAACCAAAGATATTTTGGAGAATATGTCTTAGCGAATACGCTTTCTGTATACTAGAAGACTTGCTTCAACGCGCGGCACAGCTTGAAAAGTGATTCACCCATTTCTTTTTAGTTTGCACCACCGCGGAGACACTCTCTTAAATTCACATATCTGGAGACCCATCCTCGCCCATTGTTGAGACAGATTGCTTCCTCTTTTTGTGTTGCTTCTCTTCGTTTATGCCAAGTGAAAACGAAACTGTTGAGTTCTTGGTATTGCTTGCATATCATTGGAGAAAATCTCATAATTGCTACTCTCCAAAACTACGTCTTTACTTGATTGAAAGATGATATTTCTAGGCTCAGAAGATGCAAAAAGCTACATTCATTAACGCGCCATTGATAACAAATATGCTCAACGGGCGAGTAGTGGAGATTAGTGATATATATATATATATATAAAATCGTGTGGTATGAAATCATCTCAGATGTAATACCGTCCACCCTGTGTCCAAGCTTTCTATTGCCGGTCTAAGAAGTTGAATGTTGAACTAACGTGTATTATTCCAACGTACTAGATAATATCCAAAACTGCCGGCATGATAAGCGCCTGATAAGTCCAAGCTTTATTTTCTTTCATGATAATAATCAAAACAAATTTTGTAGCCATGGGATGCGGTGAGCGCAGCAGATCCAAGCGAAGCAGTAAGCTCTACATATCATATCAGTTCTTTCCGCCCAAGTCACCCCACCAAACTTTTACGCACTTTTTTCGACAAATTCATATAAACAGACATCACCGGACGCAAAAAGCCTTGTAGACTTGAGACCCGTCATGGTTCAAAGTCCTGCTGCGTTCGTAGAAAATACATAACGTAGTTTTCGCCGGTTACCAGAAGGTGTTGGTGGATAATCAACTGGCTTCATATTTTACGCGGCAGACAATTGTCTGATTCATTGTCTTAATTTTGTCTTGCGCTGTCATTCTCTTTAGGCCGCATTTGTCATACACTGGAAATCACGACTCATCAGGACAAGGATACTGCTTTTTTGTTTCAACTGCATTTGAAAGCATAGCCGTATATTAATCTGCATGACATATTGGCCTAAACAATATCTATACACCTTTTATTACAATTTTGGTATACATCAAAGGCCATATGAAACCCTTAAGTATTGAACTCAGGTCCCAGGTGACAGTCACTGTAGCTTCATAGGGGGTTCGCACTGGAAACACCCACCAATGCCATCGAAAGAAAGCCGGGCATAAAAGTCCTAAATTTCTTAGACTTCTCAAAGGATCATATTCCTCAATAGTCAATAACCCGCTTCCAATGTTCAAAGACGGAATTTTTACCCACAGCCAGCTTTTCTTATTCATGGTGTAATGTCCTCTAAAGGTATTGTCATAATTTTATGAAAGAACACTAGTTTTGACCCCTTGTTGAATGGCGCCAATTATTGCTACAAAATATTATTGACGCTGACGAAGTCTTCATTTGCCTTAGTCAAATACTTTCGGGTTTTCAGGTCAGTAGAGATTTTATGTTCCTGATTTTGTATTTGTTTTTTGGCTTTCTTCCGCATTCATTTTTGGTTTTCTTTTCTCTCTTATTTTGTGGGTTTTCTCACCTTCTCTTCCCCCTTTCCTCTTTTTTTCTTTCTTCTTTTTCTCTGTCCTTTCACCGTTTCCCTTGGCTGTGTTTTATTTTGGCCTAACTTGGCTATATTCGCTCTTTGTCCTCCATTCTCTTCTTCTTGTGTTGTGAACTCGATCTTTTGTCTCCCCTTCACTTCGTATACTCATAATACTTTGTCAGACACATGGCTTCACGCATTTTTTTTTCCCGGGCTTGACTGTGTGAATCTCCGACTTTATTTGTAAGTTGTCTATCATATCTTTTATCGTTAACGATAGGTTCATGCGTTTTGGTGGTTGATCGGTTGATGAATCTTCTGTTCGGGAAAGAACTGGGTTTTCTGTTGGCATATATATTAACGGATCAAGATATTATATCTCTACCCCATTTGTTTTATTAATCAAGAGTTTCTCGTTCACACGGGCAACTTCAATGACAAAGCCCCTGTCATTTTTTTTCTTTTATGTGGCGCCTGTTCTTTTCCGCAAAATTCCTCTTAGTCTGCCGAATATCGAGCAAAACACTTGGATCCTTCATCAGGCTCAATTGATAATCCATCATGCCTGCCAAATGGTCAACAAACTTCAGAAATAATCTTATAAGCATCATAGTCTGGTTTGCGAGTCTCATCAGATTTATTATGCTTCTGCGGACGGAAAATTTGTTAAAGTTTTCTGTGGCATCAAAACCCTCCCCTCTTCTTCGCCGTCAAACTCTCGGGTTCCATCTCAGCATTGTTGATATTATGCACTTTATTGGAGGTCTCGTCATATAATTTTGTCGTGTCGTTCAACTTTCGTTCTATGAACTGAATGAAAAGCTCAACTTTTCCAGTTAAATCTTTTGAATTGAAACTGACCAAAGAATATCGACGATTTTGTAGAGTCTTCTGTTAAACTTGTCGCAGAATTAAGAGAGACGCCTGTATTTTCCATGACACCGTAGATGTCCAAAGTGAGCATTGAATATTTATTTTGAAAATGGGGATCAAAACCATTTGACAAGCTCTCCAGCTCGCCAAAGTCTATAGCGAATGGTGCCATAGAAGATTATTTCGACAGTCGACTCTTTCAAGTGGGGGGTTTCAATTCATTTAGACTGTGCAACGAGGCCACAAAGCCAGCAACAAACAGAAGATTTCATGGTTCGTCAAGGAAATAGTATGAAACTAACGTCACAAAAGCTGAATTCCTTCTATTAAGACTCCAGCATATTTTCTCACGGAACTACTGATTTGTGTTTCAAAATCTTGATGTATTCCATTTTACGACATGAAATGTGGAGATGATGGTTTTGGATGGGAAACACTTGCTCTCGGGTCGATTGGAGAACTGTGCTGGGCAACTCACAAATTCAAAACCTTCAAATATCTATTCAAAAATCACTCAAGGAGCCAACATTGTTTCGAATATCGTTCTTTTTGTCCGTGTATATGCCTCGAAATACTACTATGTTTTTTGGGTGGCACTAGCACGGCCTGCAGCATAATAGATTGCAACACTTGAAACACATTTATTTCCAGTAGGAAAGGGCTTCAGGCCAAGAGTCACAGCTATAGATATTTGGCAACTATATCTGCCAGTAATGCCTTAAACATTTTTTTGTTCGAGAAATAAGCCCAGTCTATGGTGAAGATGACAGGATTATCAAATTAAGACCTATATTTTAAAAGCAATTTGCGTCACTAGACATGTGAGCGTTTTTAGTGTAGCGGACAAATCTTGTAGGCTATGGGAGCAGAATTCACTCGCCTCCTCGACTACTTGCAATTTCCTTTGGCACACATTATTCTATCCGTATAAAGCCGCTTAAACATAGCTAAAAAAAGCCGGTCGACTTATGCAAAAACTTATTCATCTTGTGATATGTATTAAGCCTAAAAAAGATTGTATATTCCTTTAAAACAAATCTGAATCAACCACTCTTATCAGGATACTTACTCCGTTGTGCTCAATCAGGCCACGCATTAAACTAGCCCCATAGTTCCCAACTTGTATCTCAAAATAGTGAATTTTTTTCAGATGCTACATCACTTGCATTTATAAAAATATCTCCACTTCGAGAGTGCAAAATACTAATAATATTTCCTGGAGGCCCACCACAATTGGTTTGAGTTGGAAACTTCTTTTGGAAGTTGTTGATGAATTATGATACAAATGATGCAAATAATCTGTTTGATCGACCTTCATATTTGTCGTCCTTTATATTCCGTGCTCAGTAGAAGGACAGATGTAATCTGACTAAAATTCACTTACAGCATGATCCACCTAATTATTGTTGATAACATGAGACAGCCAATCTCCTCGCTCCTAGATGTATGATTTTTTCGGAGATTTACCCCTCCGTCGAGCTAGTTGTCTTTATTTCGTAGAAATAGGATCCATCTCAATTGACTGGGCCTACTTCCAAGGACAAAATCTACAGACAATAAATAAGACTATATCTTACTCCTGCACTTCTCGATACGACCATCGACCTCTGACATTGAATCTATATACATCAACTGTTCCTGTGGCTTTCAGTTTTTGAACATGATATCATCAGAAAACATTCAAGCCCGGAGATCCAAAAACATAACTAGACATACTACAGTGTTCAAAACACCCAAACATAACTTCCAATAAGCACCCAATGAGCAGAGGATGATGGGGCTGCTTGTTTGCCTGGCTTGACTTGATTTGCAAGGTTTCTGTATTCATGGGTGATTTCAGCACAACCAAGACTGCGCCCACGTATCACGACCAAAAACTCCTATCAAGACGCCGGAATTACTTTCCGGTATTCAGAGCAGATGCTGCATATCCGGGTCAGAGTATTAGGGGAATCTTTTAGCGGCCTGTGGCTCCCGACAGCATAGTCCATGCAACTCCGTCCAATCAGAATCGGGCGGACTTAGTCACAAGTTGAGTGGCAATGTTTGAGATTCTCAATAACTCCTGGCAAATCAGTTGACCACTCCATGAGGCACAATAAGGTACAGCCGACCGACAAGCAAGCATAATCGCATAAGCTTCTGCGTGTTGACAGAAACTTAGCCCACGTTGATCGTTTCCGTTTCCACTAAGGCAACTATTGCCAGGCCCATGCAGCTCCTTCGCAGATCAATAATTGTGTTTGCTCGCATGATCGTGCATCCCCAGATACAGTTACGGGCCGAGAAACCATAAATCAGGCTTTTCGGTAATCAGAAGCCCCATCTTGCGTGCAGTGTCGAGGCCTGTGGAAGGGGATTTGCGAGTATTGCGTTGAGCCAAGCCATGCTCCATCCATCTCACTGCCCATGTAGAAAAGCGAGACACTCCAGCTTGACAACATCGTGCTATCACGAAGGCATGCCGGTGGTGACCTCATCTTCTCTGCAGCTAGCATGGCACGTTGGAATCTACAGCGCTCACATCCGAAATCGTACGATAACGGCCGGCATCACTGAACGCGGTTGGCGAGTCCTCCTCCAGGCTAAACCTGCCACCCAGGCAATGGGCCAGAAGTATAAATTGGGAGTGTTTTCACATGATGTCACCTGTCCATCAATTCCTGACCAGGCGCGGCCGCAACAACTGCATGCTTCCCCTTTCTCTTCTCCCCCTCTGTCTTGGCGTGGCTCACGGCTTATCGCTTCCCCGCCAAGAGGCCGAAAACGGTCCGGCGCCCATTGCTCTTGGGTTCTCCGTTCTGAAAACCGTCGGCAATATCACGGCTAAAGAATTCTGGAGCCAGCACAGCGCCGAGCGGGCCAAGCGCGACGGGTACCCGATTCCCATTGTGGATTATCGCGACATCAGCTACCGGCTCGACGTATACTTGGGCTCGGACGCACAGAAATCAACGGTCAATCTCGACACAGGCTCGTCCGATCTCTGGGTGTACAGCAGCGATTATGACCCCAGCACCTCCAGCACTTCCAAGGACACGGGAGACGCGTTTTCCATTGGCTATTTGGACGGCACCAGCTCTGCGGGCGAGTACTACTTGGACACTTTGAAATTCAGCACTCCCAACCCGGTTCTCTCCAGCTTCCAGTTTGCCAGAAGCACCAGCAGCAGCGCGTATGGCGTTTTGGGCATTGCCGATAGAAACCAGGAGCGAGCCCTGTCAGAATATGACAATTTGCCCTGGGCCTTGCAGGCGGCGGGCATCACGCCCAAAGCTTCGTACTCGCTTTTCCTCGGGGCCGAGGGCGGGTCGGGCACGGTGATCTTTGGCGGCATCGACACAGAAAAGTACGTGGGCAACTTGACCAAATACAGCGCCCAGAAAAGCAGGGGCGCGTTGGCCGTGAACTTGCAGACAATGCTGGTGAATGGCAAGACCCTTTCGGTGGATGCGCCGGCGATTTTGGACTCTGGCACTTCTTTGGGGCTCTTGCCTCTGGAGTACATGAGTGAGCTTGACAGTGTCTTTGACACCACCGTGTACACGCAGGGCAGCATTGAGTACCGCCTGGTGAGCTGCGACCAGCCTTCCGACAAGTACCTCGACTTTGATTTTGGCAACAACACGATTCAAATCGCGTACTCGGATATGGTGTATCACCAGGGCAACGACGAATGCTTGCTTGGGTTCGGCTCCTATGGGAGCTACATGATTTTCGGCGACGTGTTCTTGAGGCAGGCGTATGTTTACTATGACCTCTCGGACCTGACGATCTCGCTTGCCCAGGCGTCGTACTCGAGCTCGTCGAACATCATCAGTGCTTGATTTGTTTTGGTCTGGGGGTTGGCTGTGTGTTGGATGTTGTTGGATGTAGAGTGTTGGATGTTGTGGGATATGGGGTGTTGCATGTTGTTGATGTGGGATGCTTGGCTCTGACTGTCGCCCGTATGTAGACTGCCTCTTGGGCCTGGTTTGGGACCCGGGTGGACGGTTTTGTTGCCTCCACCCAGATGACCCGAGCCGTGTGTCCGGCCTAGTAGATGCGGAATACACCATGGAAGTCTTCATCAACTGAACCTCGCTGCCGCTGCTGGCGGTTCGTATATTGCTGTGAGGCCTGCGTCCGCTCTGTTTCGGTGCGTGGACGGGATCTGGTCGAGCTGTTTTCCCCGCATCCTCTAGCTTTGGGCAGCAAGCCTGGCTGGCCCCTTGGCCTCTCCGGAAGCCACATTCTCTTTCATGGCCAGCACCACTCGCTGTTGTGCCCTCAAAAGCTCCAGCAATTCAGAACCACTGGTGCCAATGCAATGGTTGTGCTCTTTATGCATGGGTGGGGCCTAGATTTGAATGGCCATCAGGCACACCACATGGCGGGCGGGCTGGGGCCATGGTTGCCCTGGCATGCAAACGACGCTGGAAAGCTCCAAGCACTAAGAGCCTGGAGAGCCAGGCAGGGGCCAGGCCGTACACAGCGTGACCGCGACTCCGGCCGCCTCCAGCTATAGCCGCGACTCCGGGCGCCCAGCCCAAGAACAAGAGCACGTTTCCGAAAATGGCACAGCTCGAGAACACGGCGGGCGCCCTCCACGGCCCACAAAAACGCAGTGAGCTACGGGAGCTCGGGCTCCAAAAGAACTAGGTCCGGCCCCGGGGCCGGCTTCGGGGCGGCCGCGGCTAGCTTGGCGGCGCGGGCGCGGTTGTGGACCTCGAACACGCCCTTCTCGCCCGTGCCGTGCACTTCCAAGTTGCGGCGGTCCGCGCCCACGATGCTCCGGTAGTCCGGGTGGTCGATGTCCCAGTCGCGGCCGAGCTGGTCGCACAAGTAGCTGACGGTGTCGTCGCAGTAGCCCAAGAAGGACACGTCGAAGTTGCAGCTGGGGATCGGGTCCCTGTTGATCAAGACCTGCGGCACGTGGGGCGCCACCTTGTCCACCATGTCGGACACGGGCGCCACGCGGAGCGACGTGCCGATGCTGAGAAGAAGGTCGCAGTCACGGAGGTCGCGGGCGTGCTGCGAGTGGTAGGCGCGGGGGAGGTCCTCGCCGAAAAAGGTGATGTCCGGCTTCATGACGCCGAAGCTCGGGTCGTCCGCGCTGTCGTCGCGGCGCATGCACGCGAGCCGCTTCTTGTCGCACCTCGGGCAGTACGCGAGCTCACCCTTCTCCAAGGCCGGGTAGAGGCGGGTGCCCTCGACCTGGTACCTGCACGTGACGCACGAGGCGGACGCCAACGAGCCGTGGCACTGGACCATCTTCTCCGGGCGGAGGCCCGCGTTGGCCTCGATGTTGTCGATGTTCTGCGTGTAGTTGCGCAAGAGCTTGCCCTTGTCCTGGAGCAACGTGAGGAACCTGTGGAGCGGGGCCCGCACGTCCTTGGGCGGCAAGATCATGTGCGCGATCGAGTAGAACACCATCGGGTTGTCGTGGAACACGCGGATGTCGAACACCTCCTGCGGGTCCTCGAGCCCGAGCGCCGCCATCTTCGAGTAGAAGCCCTCGGAACTGCGGAAGTCCGGGATCCCGAGGCTGGTGGAGATCCCGGCCCCGGTGATCACCAAGATGTTGCGTGCCGTGCGGAGCGCGCCGAGCACGTGCGCCACCGAGCAGAAGTTCTCGAGCCGCGGCCGCAACTCGCAGATGCGGCCCATGGCTAGCTCGAGAAGCCTCATGAGTTTGACGTAGTGGGCCGCGCCGACCCTGGGCGGCAAGTTGCGCGGCACGTAGCCCAAGCTCAGGAGGAGCTGCACGATCGACTCGCCCGACACGTCCGGCGGGAGGAACCGCTCGAGGAACTTCTGCGGGCCGAACCGCTTCACGAACTTGCGGAACGCGTGCACATTGGCGTACGTTTCCGAGGGCTCGGCCTCCTCGAGGTCCGACAGCACCACCGCCGCGGCCTCCGAGTCCGTCAGCCCGCCGCTGCCCTCCGTGTCCGTCCGCCCGCCCGGCAGCTCCGCGGTCTCCGCCAGAAGGCTGCCAGCCAGGGGCGGTGCCGCCGGGGTCGTGCGCGCACCAAAACCCGCCCGCCGGCCGGCCCCGGCGGCTGGCGCCGTTTTTTCTGGGGCTCGGCCCTCCGGGCGCTCTGCCGGCTCGCCGCGGCAACGCTCGGAGTCCGAGGCGGGCGAGCTGGCGGCGGATTCGTCGTCGCTTTCCTCCATAAACGGCTTTTTGAGCGGCGGGAGCGGCCGGGCCGGCTGCGCGCCGAGCCGGGGCTTTTTGGGCGGCCTGCTCGAGTCCGGCTCCGAGTCCAGTTCCACAAGGACAATATCCCGGTTTGCCACGGCCATTTTGTGAGAATGTGCTGTGGTTTGGTGGGGCCTCGAAGGTGAGAGTTTGATAACGTTGGAGCACGTAGGGTCGCGAGGCGCGTGTCACGTGCCGGCCGCGCCGTCTGCCGCGCGTGGGGTTGTGTCACGTAACAAAGTCAGACCTTTCCAATGCAGAATACCTTCGTCAAATTAAAGCCCTCGAGCGGTCCATACTGGCCCACGAAGACAGCATCCTGGCCATAACCTCAGACGACGAACAGCAAAGGCAAACTCTTGCCTCTCTTCGCAACCAAATCAAGCATTTCACTGATCTCCAAAACTCTCAACTACAGCTTCACAGCGAAAAACTTGATACCGAAATCAACCGTATACACCACGACCTTCATTCGCAGACGGCGGGGGTACACGACGCCATCGCCGCAAACGATGAACGCGTCAGACAACATACTGACATTGTCACCCAACAGGTGAGCGACGGTGTCCACCATGCGCTTCAGACTAACCAAGACATGGTCCGGCGACACACCGACATAGTCACCAACCAGGTTCACGCACAGTTGGCGCACCATAACAACGACATTGCCCAGGCCGCACTG